CCTGTCAAAAGTTGAGTAGTATCTATATAAAAACCACACCCAAGAAACAACACCATGGAATAACACCCAAATCAAAAACCACATCAAGACCCACAAGCTTAACGATGAAGAATTAACAGATACCAAAAATAGCCTGTTCTACATCATCACATGTGACGACAAGCTCCTCACAATGACAACCCACTTGCAGAGCTCTCTACACTATTGTAAACTGGTACCACTGTTGTAGACTAACGTTTAGTCCCTGAATTTATATCATTTTGATAGTAACAAATAAATCCAGTTAAATTGAAAAGGAGACCCAGTGAGTTGGGAGATTCAAGCTGAACCTAGGGAAATCTAGACTTGCTTCATTTATGGCTTTAGCATGGCAGTAGTGAAAATAGAGTGGTTCAGGGTCTGTAAGACAGACCACCACTGTTGGTACAGTATTTAAGCTGAGTATTTTCAGAAAATAGGTTGTGGACAAACATGTGGTACAAAACTCTACATATCTGGCCACACGTGCCTCATTATCAACGCCAAGTTATTATTGCTATGCAAATTTCACCTTTTAAGTTTGTTTTGAGTGGAAATAATTACAATAACATTTTGGCTAATAATTAGTCTGTTAGTTCATAAACAAATGTTATGTATGTAGATGCTTGATTGGCATTTTAGAAGATGCTATTGGGTTAACATGAAGAATTTTCTTGATTTCATCTTTTTATCCTTTGATACAACAATTCGGGGCCTGTTCTGCCCCCATCATAAGGTAAAACTAATGAACAGTATATGTTAACGGTGCCCATGACGTCACAATGCTATGATGACTTTATGTATATTACGTAGTCCAGTATTTGTTTTTAATCAATATTGAGGACCAATGAATGTTATGTTTCATTTCGTCTTATCACAGCCTGCCACAAATCAGAAGCTGTCTGTCCGCCTGGTTAGACAAGTGCCCAGTTAATATACTATTGCTGCCTCCATTCACTAGTCCCCACTGTTACTGTGCATGGAATCAAGCTTGCAACCAACAGACTGTTGTGTTTGCAAACAAGTGAAAGAGGTTGTGATGCCTACACTTCCTACCCATTATTTGTTTGGATTGTTGGTTAATTTAACTTATTATGTACATGGAACAGTGAGAAAGTATGTGGAAGGTTGCACATCTTTCTGTTAGTGTGCTATCACAAATCAATCTGATAAAACAACCAAACGCTGCGTTTAAAATTCCCGCCTGGCCGACCATCCGGAACAGTCTAATTTCATCTCAGACGGTCAAATTTCAAAAGTAGCCTGTCCGGTGGTCTGGTAGATGTTTTTACTCCCAACAGTAAATATTTCATAATATTAGACAGGGTCTCTTGTCGTCAGTTTGAGGTGTTTAAGGTATTATGATAAATATGTTAAACTATTTACGATTGGACAGTTAATTTTACAATAACCAATCACAACACATGTACTTTCAGTTTACCTAAACTCGGTGCATTGCCTGTTAGTGCTATGTTGTTCATTGCGATGCCTACAAACAGTAAAGTATTCGGAAACCTTTGTTTTTCACTGTTGAAAACCGGACAGGAAGTTTGTATCCGGACTGGTAATTTTTAAAGTTACCATTCCGGCTGTCTGCCTTGGAATTTGGAGAGTTTTAAACACTGCCAAGCGTAAATTCAAGTTCAATATATAGCAAATCAGTTGTAAATCTTCCTAATTCACAATAATGGCATCCTATAGACATCCACAAATCTATACATATCACTACATTTGTTGTAGCAGTGATGATTACATGAAGGTGTCACATCATAGGATGGTTAATGTTAAGTAGATAAGGGGAGATAATTTATCTAAGTTATGAATTATCTCCCTTCCAAAATGGCTGCACAGTTTTATCATACAACCTTTATCATTTTCCAACACTGGTAAAAGCAGAAACACTGGTAGTTTGTAATGGAAATGTGCTATGAATAACAGCCCATGATTCTCATTGGCACATTCACTTAATATCTCATTGGGACGTTAATTTACATCCACACGTAGGCTGTTAATACAGCTGAAGGAGTGTTCAGCACAGGTACTACAGATGTGTACCCACGGTGTATACAGGAACATAGCCTTGCCAAAATCAGAATACAGAAATGTACCCTTGGGCAAGTCCATTCCACTTTATGCCATTTTCTTGATAGGAACTGTCATACTGTTTTGTGATATGCATTTGATTGCTTTATATATGAAAGAAGCATTCACTGTAACAAGTGTTTCTTGATGTACAATACCACTCGTAGTCAGTTGAATGGGAATAACTACATACAGTTTTGTTTTGGGGATGTGGAGTATGGACTTGTCCCCCTTTAGGGTACCGGGTACATTACAGTACTTGGAGTTTGTTAAGGGTCCATTTCTGTGTAGAGAAAGGTACCTGGGCTACATATCTGTAGAACCGGTGCTGACGACGCCTTCAGCAGAGTTAAGTACTCGTGAATCCTGTGCAACGATACTTATTGTCTGATAAGCATTCTGGACGTTGTTGAGTCAAAACTGAAGCACACAACTTTATGAATGACAACCTTTTGTTTATTGCATGGAGTGACGTTTCGATGTAGATTCTTACACCATTATCAAGCTAATCGATACTCCTTTGTTCTGTGTTTGTCTGATCAGTGATTCATCCACATTCACAGACAGCAGCAATATCCACTGTCTGTTGACCATTCACAGACAGCAACAATATCCACTGTCTGTTGACCATTCACAGACAGCAGCAATATCCACTGTCTGTTAACCATTCACAGACAGCAGCAATATCCACTGTCTGTTAACCATTCACAGACAGCAGCAATATCCACTGGCTGTTGACCATTCACAGACAGCAGCAATATCCACTGTCTGTTAACCATTCACAGACAGCAGCAATATCAACTGTCTGTTAACCATTCACAGACAGCAGCAATATCAACTGTCCATTACAGCCAATATCAACTGTCTGTTAACCATTCAGATCACTGTCTGTTAACCATTCACAGACGGCAACAATATCAACTGTCTGTTAACCATTCACAGACAGCAGCAATATCAACTGTCTTATCCATTCACAGATGGCAACAATATCAACTGTCTATTAATGCATGCAGCACTTCAGGAAGTCAACATGTGTAACACTGAATTAACATGCACATGACACCCAAATACATTTGAGCAGAAGAGTGAGTGAGTTTAGTTTTACGCCGCACTCAGCAATATTCCAGCTATATGGCTGCAGTCTGTAAATAATCGAGTCTGGACCAGACAATCCAGTGATCAACTGGTTATCGACCTTCACATTATGTGTGTGTGAGATGGGTTTTTTTGGTTTCATAAAAGCAAATCTTCAGGAAGTCTCATGATATTTTCCCTAAGGAAGGAAGAACAAGATCCAATACAAACTTTCAAGTTATTCCTTGTGAGATCATGGTTGTTGAATCAAAATTTAAAAGCTATCACCATTAAGTCGCTTTTAGCAATATTCCAGTAATATCACTGCAGGGGACACCAGAAATGGACTTCATACAATGTATCTATGTGGGGAATCGAACCTACGTCTTTGGCATGACAAGCGAACGCTTTAACTACTAGGCTACCCCACCGCCCCATCACCACTGACGACTCTAGTTTAATCAAAGTGCAGGATACCACTGACAGATACCTCAAACAGAAGGACACCTTTGTCAGCTTACTAATATCAGTTCCAGAATAATTCCAGTCTCTCAATAAACACAGGACTTCATTGTCAGCTAACTAACAATTCCAGTGTATTCAAAACTATGGACGCCTTTGTCAGCTTATTCATAATTCCAGTGTCATCAAAACTAAGGACACCTTTGCCTAACTTATAATGACAGTCTCATGATAATACTATTTCCATCATTAGGTAGGATGATTGTGTCAGATGCCTTATTAAGACATTATATTGCCACTTTCCTTAAAAAGCAGAATGACAATCAGCTAATTTATAATGCCATTGTTAATAAAACTAAGGACACCTTTGCCAATTAACTAATGCCAGAATCATTATAACTAAGGATGCCTTTGCCAGCTAACTTATAATGCCATTGTCAATATAACTAAGGATACCTTTGACGGCTAACTTATAATGCCATTGTCAATATAACTAAGGACACCTTTGGCTAACTTATAATGCCATTGTCAATATAACTAAGGGCTAACTTATAATGCCATTGTCAATATAACTAAGGACACCTTTGCCAGCTAACTTATAATGCCATTGTCAATATAACTAAGGACACCTTTGCCAGCTAACTTATAATGCCATTGTCAATATAACTAAGGACACCATTTAAAGTTTGCGGCTAACTTATAATGCCCTTTGCCAGCTAATTATAACTAAGGACACCTTTTTGGCTAACTTATAACACCTTTGCCGGCTAACTTATAATGTCATTGTCAATATGCCTTTGCTAACTTATAATGCCATTGTCAATATAACTAAGGACACCTTTGCCATTGCTAACTTATGGCTAACTTATGCCATTGTAATATAACTTGACACCTTTGCCAGCTAACTTATGCTAACTTATAATGCCATTGTCAAACTTACTTATAATGCCTTATAATGCCATTGTCAATATAACTAAGGACACCTTTGTCAATATAATAATGCCATTGTCTAACTTATAATAACTAAGGACACGGGCTAACTTATAATGCCATTGTCAATATAACTAAGGACACCTTTGCCGGCTAACTTATAATGCCATTGTCAATATAACTAAGGACACCTTTGCCGGCTAACTTATAATGCCATTGTCAATATAACTAAGGACACCTTTGCCAGCTAACTTATAATGCCAATGTCACAGTCAGTGCCATGTTAATATCACTGTCTTCATAATACAAGGTGACTGTGTCAGATTCTTCATAACACCTGTCTCAGTGTAACGCCAGATTTGCTCAGTTCTCCTCTGAAATCAGACATGCCTGTTTGTTCACACCACACTTACAACATGACAGAGTGTACTTACTTGCATGGGTAGCTTTCTGCTGGTATCATTCTCTGCATGGTTCGAAGGTATGGAGGAGAGCTCAGATTCACCGATAGACAGCTGACTGTGGTCGATTATCATGTCAGTGTCAGAATCATTGTCACGATGAGACTCGCCCTGAAAATAACAAGAAGACAAAGTCATCAATGTTCCCGCAATGGCAAAATACTCTTCATGAATATGTCTACGAGTTACTGTCAAATGTTTTGGCGTGTATATAACTAAGTTGAAGGAGAGTACTGAAAGGTTTCAAAGTTCTGCTCCAGAAAGGAGCACTACCACCAAATTCAGTGTAAGTCAAACTTGTTGCCATGGAAACGAAAAAAATATTATATTCAGAAATCCAAAACTGCCAAAAGGCACCAGTAGACCACCAGATCTATGTATGTGCCAAGTTTGGTGAAGAAATATTGAACGTTTTCTGCTCCGGAAAAGACAAATTTGCACTGGCGCACACACGCATGCATGCACAGACGGAGTGCATTTTAATACCCCCCAAAAACCAAAAAACGCATTGCATGGGATGAAAAAAATATATACCGTATATTACTGTAGATCGGCCGATCTCATAGATAAACCGCCCCCTAACTTGACCATTAAAATCAGTATCAAAATGGTATGTTTCATACATAAGTCGACCCACCGCGATGTGGTCATAATTGCGGTCAACTCAGACCACAAGACAACTGGCAGTTACCGTCTTGGATGTAAAACGTAAGTATGTTATCGTTATGAAAAGCAAAAGAAACATCACATTTTCAAACAGTAATGGCATGATGCGATTTCACATAGGTGGTCAGGTACATTCCCAAAGGAAAATAATTGAGCAAAACATCTTCCGGAAGGGTATCATTGCCATAAAACACGCGACACATGTATATGTACAATGCCGTTTGCTCAAATGCAGCATCAGAAATATTGTTGAGGGGTAGTTACAAATGATTCTCACAAACATCAACATGTAAAAGAGTTTTTAGCATTCCCTAGTGTCACACTGGCAACCATTACCTTGATATGACAGTTATATGCAAAGATTACCAGGTAAAACAATTACGTAAAAAGTTGTTTAAGAATCTCTCATGTCATATAATTCTATTTTCACGCTTCACACCGAGGGGTGACAAACGGCTGGTGGAACAGCGCCACCACGCACTTCAGGTGTAGCTCAGCACAGCCAGGTGAGATGACCATTACTAGTCAGGAAACAGCCGGCTCTGTTTCACCAGCTGTTTGTCACCCCTCGCAGCGAAGCGTGAATAAAGAACAAAATTACATGAACTTTTTCTGTGATCGATCATAACACTCCACATTTCAGATCCTGTTGGGTACAGAGGTTTCAGGACCATGTGTCTTATTTATGTTTGTGCACTTATCCCTATTTCGAGTTATTTAATTATTCATCGTTCTCATTTGAAACCCAAACGGACTGTAGTGGTTAACGTGTTTGCTCGTCACGCTGAAGGCCCGGGTTTGATTCCCCACATGGGTACAATGTGTGATGCCCATTTCTGGTGTCCCCTGCCGTGACATTGCTGGAATATTGCTGAAAGCGGCGTAAAACTTAAGTCAATCTCTCACTGTTGTCAGTAGTTGTACAAACTTCTTTTTGTGTTTATCAATTGGCACTATAAAAAGTTCATATTTTTGACAAACTTGATAATTTTGTCTAAAAAATAAGACGGTTTGTCAAAAGTTTGTCGCAACATTTCGAATATTCCCAACAAAAGCAGAGAATAGTCTGTGGAGACAACTGTGACTATCTGTCATCTGGGTTTTCTAATAGAGGACATAGGCATAATACCCTCAGAAATGGATGCTAATGATGGTTGCTATGGTAACAAGAAAGTCTGCAGTCCATACCTGTGTCATCTGCTCCTCCGTGGTCAGCAGCTTGGCAAGGGGTAAGCAGCATTTTGGTAATGTCTCCATAAGCGTTGGTCGACAATTTGTTAAAAACGGTTTCATAAACCTGAAAATAAATGCAAAGGTTTAAACAAAAGTTCTCGAAAGGTTCCCTACTTCACAAATGGGAATGTGCTGTAGAATGTTTGGTGGTGTAAACATTTTCAAACTATTTTCCATTTTCTCAATGCACTTCAATTCAATAATACAACTGTTTTAGGAAAATGTACATTTGTAAATGAGAGATTTGAATTTATCTTCTTTCTACTACGACAAAAAGTACATGATAACAATTCCTTGATAAAATATCAGAAACAAAATCCTTGACATAGTCCTCATAAGTGAAAAAGAGTAGGACATCCAAAAATTCTGCAATTTGAGATATATCCTGTTACTTTGGTTTCTACTGATTAGCATGTTTTTAAGAACAACAACTCAGTTTAGTCGATAATTCCCATCCACTTAATATAATTTCTATCCACTTAATATGTAGACCACAATTACCAGGAACAAAACATTAAGGCAAGTGATATTCACATTTTAAAAAATATTTCTACAACATTATTATTGAAAACTTCTTTGTTAAACATGTATCTTGGGTGACTGGCCTGATCTCTGACAAAGTTGCAATGCTACTGAAAAAAAAAAGGATTTTCGGCATCCTTTTTGTACTGTTTGTTTGTTGTTTTACTCAGTAAGTAAGTCAGCGAGACTGACAACCCGATCCCGTTATCCTCTTATAACAAGCATGGGTTGCTGAAGACCAATCCTAACCCGGAAATTCCCTGGTTTATCCCTTCATGACAAGCATGGATCGCTGAAGACCAATCCTAACCCGGAAATTCCCTGGTTTATCCCTTCATGACAAGCATGGATCGCTGAAGACCAATCCTAACCCGGAAATTCCCTGGTTTATCCCTTCATGACAAGCATGGGTTGCTGAAGACCAATCCTAACCCGGAAATTCCCTGGTTTATCCCTTCATGACAAGCATGGATCGCTGAAGACCATTCCTAACCCGGAAATTCCCTGGTTTATCCCTTCATGACAAGCATGGATCGCTGAAGACAATTCTAATCGGGATCTTCGCAGGTCTCTCTTTACACAGGTCAACCTGATAACATACTTACACCATATCAAAGTTATACCACTTGGCAACTAGCCAAGCTTTCCCTTTCGTCCTCGGTACCTCCACAGGGTCTCCAGGCTCCTATACGACAAAACACCATGGTTACACCCCACATTGTAAACAATTCAGTAACAGACCACACATGTAGATGTATGATAACATCATATATCAGCCAATCTTAAACATAGCTAGCAGTCATAAAATACAAACTTCAAATATAAATGACTTTCAGTTTGATATATCTTGTAGGAAGTTACTTTCTTAATTCAAACAAAAATACATAAGTTGTCAGGTATTAATTATTGTCTTCATATTTCATTTTATAATTTTCTCAAAATTTTGTATTTATTTTTCAGACACAGCAGATATGTAATTTTGTAGGCAGGTACGTTTCAGTCACTGTGGAGTCAGATCACTCATAAACAGTACACACACTTAGCGAGGTCAAAGCTGAGAGTGGTCTCCCTTGTTGGTCACAACCAAAATGACATTTATCAATGATTGTTACCACCAGAACTTTATTTAGTCACTGATTAAGATTGCAAACTAAATAACTCTTGAAATCCTTTGACTTACAATAAAATTACCTTTCTTCAATGCTTGCAACAAATGCAAGTTACAGAACACTGTTTATTTATCAACATGCCATATCTGCCATATCTGTTCACAAGCCATTAAGTCAATACATGTACCTCTAATCTGCATTATGATATTTTTTAGTTTATCGCAAAATATTCTTTTAAACTGTAAGTGCAGAACCATTTTCTATCTGGGTACGACACGGGATTTTCTTCAAAACAAAAGATTCAATAAACACTTTAAAATTAAATTTTGTTCCAGGTTTTAAAAAAACATGAACATTTGTACAATGAATGTACTAAAATCAAACGTGTGGTTGGACACATAAAAATCGCATCCTGTCATTAAAAACAAATAATCCCAAATAATCCAGAATCTCCCTAATGAGATTAAAATTTTATCACATTTTCACATGCTCATCATAAAGCATTCACATGCCGATGGCCGAGATTAGTCACCCAGTCCTTGGTCCACAGGGGTATTTTAAACACATATATACTGAACCTTTATAAGGTCGAACAGATCTGCTTCTGAAGTCAACTGGCCAATCATTTAATTAGCAACCCTGAAATTTTGATAAAATCAGCAACTACCAATGTCAAAAACCTATCAAATAACATATCAAAATAGCACCATTTTTAAACCTACCAAACACATACCTGACATTGTTGTATTGCCTGACACAAAGTTACTGATAGAGAGGTCTGACAATAGGAACAGAATTGATTCATTGTCAAAAGCTTTCCCTGTTTCTAGGGTACTAAAGACAGCCTGTATGTAACCCTGTGTGCCCAGGATGGACTGCAAGCAATCCCTGCCTTATACATCCATTATACAACAGATATTATTGCTGGACTACAGCACTGCCACCACAGGAGTAACTACAAAAGAATATTACATCCACCACAACAACCACTACATTGGTGTATTCGTGCAATCCGCTTTCGTTCCAGGAACATTGTTTTAAATCTGTAACATCTGCAACATTGGTATCACAAAATGCATAAGAATTTTCAAATTTTAATGTAAGGACTAAAAATTCAGATGCTGTGTTTCTAAACATTGCACTCGTTTAGTGTCTGTTCCTGAACATTTTAAACCAAGTGCCCAAATACACCAAACCAACAGATCCACTACATCGCATGTCAATACCAGCATCCACAAGGGAAGACAAGTTAGAGACGAGATCAGGCGCAACTGTACAGCTCAATTTTCTCATTGTGTTTGCACAATTTCTCCTAAAATCAAATTCTGAAAAATTACACTGTAGGACAAAAATGTCTCAACTCCATGGACAAACATTCCAAAGGATATTTTTTGCTTTGAGTCTTTTGGCTAAAAACATTACATTGGTGTGGATAATGGGACCAAGATTTTTATCAAAGCCGAAACAAGATCTGATACATGAGGTGAATGGGGCATATATAATGAAACGGACTAAAATTCACATTCAACTCCAATGTATCAGACATCGAAATAAAAGTTGAGCTGTCAGCGCACTGTTAGTAGTGAGGATGGGGATGAGGATGATGATGATGATGATGATGATGATGATGATGATGATGATGATTTAACTGATATACTGTTTTCAGTCAAGGATATATGAGAATATATCATTATGTCAGGATATATAGCCAGAAGATGATAATCATGAAATACAAATACAAGCCTGACAACTAAAGCCTGACGCAGAGTTAGACATAAAAGTTGGAATGACAATAAACTGTGTCCCACAATAATCAGAACAAATACACAAAGGATTTATTCTAAACTGTTATGAACTTCATTGGGGAAACATGTTTTCACCATATTTGTTTTCGTATCAATTCTTGGAACTTTTAGCCAAAAATCTTTCATATTCCTGAACAAGTAAACCTAAAGTCTTTCATATTATTGGGTGTTAAAACCAAAAGTCTTTCAAGTTTGTGAACAACTCAATCTAAAACCTTTCACATTCATGAGTGTTTTAACCTATAGATTTCATAATTTTCTTTTAAAAGTTTCCCAGGACACTTCATATTCTAGAATGATTCAACGAAAAGTCTTTAACATTCTTAAACAATTCAACCAATGGTCTTTCATATTCTGGAATGTTTCAACCTAAAGTTACTGAGCTCCAGACTAATTCAACATCAATTTTCAGAAATACTTTGTTGATTAACATAACTGAAACTTTTAATGCATTGAATGATAAAAAAGTCCCTGATAAAATTAATCAATCAACAATGTCAATAATATTCAGATTAAAAAATGTCTATAATGTTCCCAAACTCCACATAATCGATAAAAACAAACCCAAAAACTTACCGACTCCGAAGACTCAGTATGGAATAAAACTCACAAAATACCACTACCACCCAACAACTCACACAGAATAAAGAACATCCATCTACAGTTAACGTCTAATCTTGAAAAGACAAAGCCCCAAGAGAGAAAAGTGATACCTCCAAAATGAAAATCAAATAAGGACTGCATGGAAATAAAGATTGACTACATTGAAATCAAAGCAAAACAACAGAACAAACATTGTGCTATACAAAGTGAGACCTTGAAAAATGCTACAAACTGAAATACAAGGAGGCTGATGCCAGGAAGATTAGAGTGTCATTCGGTTCACGTGTACCTGTTCTAAAGGGGGGGAGCCAGCGAGGGACTGGCCTTCTTCGGCTTCAAACTGAAACACAGCAAGGTTTGTGTCAGTCGACCTACGACACGACATGTGGCTGTCATCACTAGCACACTTAATGTGTGGCACTTCTCGGACTGTCAGTGTGTCCAAATACAGCACTCTCCATGTGTGGCCCTTACCCAAATACAGCACTCAGAATGTGTCTCCAAAATCCAGCTCTCTCAACGTAAGGCCATCTCCCAAACCCAGCTCTCTCAATGTAAGGCCATCTCCCAAACCCAGCTCTCTCAATGTAAGGCCATCCCCAAACCCAGCTCTCTCAATGTAAGGCCATCTCCCAAACCCAGCTCTCTCAATGTAAGGCCATCTCCCAAACCCAGCTCTCTCAATGTATGGCCATCTCCCAAACCCAGCTCTCTCAATGTAAGGCCATCCCCAAACCCAGCTCTCTCAATGTAAGGCCATCTCCCAAACCCAGCTCTCTCAATGTAAGGCCATCTCCCAAACCCAGCTCTCTCAATGTAAGGCCATCTCCCAAACCCAGCTCTCTCAATGTAAGGCCATCTCCCAAACCCAGCTCTCTCAAAGTAAGGCCATCCTCCAAATCAACCTTTCTCAATGTAAGGCCATCTCCCAAACCCAGCTCTCTCAATGTAAGGCCATCCCCAAACCCATCTCTCTCAATGTAAGGCCATCTCCCAAACCCAGCTCTCTCAATGTAAGGCCATCTCCCAAACCCAGCTCTTTCAATGTAAGGCCATCCCCCAAATCCACCTTTCTCAATGTAAGGCCATCCCCCAAATCCACCTTTCTCAATGTAAGGCCATCCCCCAAATCCACCTTTCTCAATGTAAGGCCATCTTCCAAACCCAGCTCTCTCAATGTAAGGCCATCTCCCAAACCCAGCTCTCTCAATGTAAGGCCATCCCCCAAACCCAGCTCTTTCAATGTAAGGCCATCTCCCAAACCCAGCTCTCTCAATGTAAGGCCATCCCCCAAATCCACCTTTCTCAATGTAAGGCCATCCCCCAAATCCACCTTTCTCAATGTAAGGCCATCCCCCAAATCCACCTTTCTCAATGTAAGGCCATCCTCCAAATCCAGCTCTCTCAATGTAAAACCATCCCCCAAACCCAGCTCAATCAAAGTATGGCCATCCTCCAAACCAACCTTTCTCAATGTAAGGCCAACGTCCAAACCCAGCTCTCTCAATGTAAAGCCATCCCCCAAACCCAGCTCAATCAAAGTAAGGCCATCCTCCAAATCAACCTTTCTCAATGTAAGGCCATCCTCCAAACCCAGCTCTCTCAATGTAAAGCCATCAGCCAAACCCAGATCTCCCAAAGTAAGGCCATCCCCAAATCCACCTTTCTCAATGTAAGGCCATCCCCCAAACCCAGCTCTCTCAATGTAAGGCCAACCCCCAAATCCACCTCTCTCAAAGTAAGGCCATCCCCGAAATCAAGTTTTGTCAACGTATGGCCATCCCACAAGTAATAATAACATTCCCAATATATGGCTCTCCTAACCTTAGACTGTAGATTGTGTGTGGCTTGTTTGAACAAATATTGCTCTTAAGTCTAAAGAATGCTGTCAATAGTTTATAATGCCAAGCCTGACACTACGAAACTTGTTGTTAGAATTTCTATTACTTGGAACAAGCATGTGAAGTATCAGCAGCACTGGTCCAGTGGTTTCTGAGGAGGTCAGGTTCAAAGTCCAAAGGAGTTATAGGATATTCGCTCCAAGGGACATAACTCTATGGGTTTGCTTGAAATAATGTTCAGCCAGTAGAGGGCGCGAGAGTCGATTTAATGCAATGTTGCATTAATACATTCAAACTTTTTAAGTTAATATTGTAATCTAAATATGTAATATTTTCCGTAATAAATCATATGGTAGCTTCCCTGAGGGCTGATAGTTAGTATTATTGAGAGAAATGCATTATTTATTATTAGAGAAGTGTGGTGTGAAATAGGGCCTCCTTTAAGGGTCCAAGTGATAAAAACACCACTTCTGTAGCTATTCATGCTTCAGAGTTCCCTGTGTTTACATCACTTCAAGAATACAGTAATCTCTATTCAAGGCATGTGTTTCCCAGGCATCAAAACGAACAGCACAGAATTTCCCACGCCCTAGAAATCTCTGGAAGTAGGCTTGGATACTGACATGATAGTTTGTTTGTTACCGGGGCAATGAACACCAACACAAGTCTGTGAAGCATTGATGATGGAGGCACAAACCAACCCCAAGTGTTTCTGGTCAGTAATACTGACACAGGACCCTCAGAGTGAGTGAGTGAATTTAGTTTTATGACGCTTTTAGCAATATTCCATCAATATCACAACAGGGGACATCAGAAATGGGCTTCACACGTTGTACCCATGTGGGGAATCGAACACGGGTCTTCGGCTTGACGAGCGAACGCTTTAACCACTAGATCTCCCCCAGGTCACTCAGAATCTCCCTGAAGACACTGACAACGTCACACAGAAGTGCCACTGTTCCATTAAGAGTGCTAGGAAGATTTGATTATGAACCGCATGCACAAATGCAACAATCTTCCTTGTTTGTGGGGAAAATCTTGTGACAGACATGTTTTCCTGTTTGTGTTTTTTCCCTGTTTTTGACAGACTTTTCCCGAAAGAATACCAATAGTGAAAGGAATCTTCATGCAAAGGTGATCAGTGTTGATGAACTAGTGTGTTATGTCTTTGAAGTGCCTTGAAAAAAATGGTCTGACACACTAGTAAAAGTTTGTGTCACTGAAATCGTAAATAAACTCAAGAACAAAAAAATAATAAAATAAATAAATATACAATAATGTGAAAAGTGTGTGGCATCAATATCGGCATCTCCCTGGTACTAAGACATACAACAACCTAGGTAACTCAAGGTGAAGGTCAAACAAACCCGTAGAAGTCACTGACAAGGGTCACTTGGTCAAGGTCAAAGTAAGCTGTACAGGGACCAGAGGAATTGATAATGGCACACATGGAAGCATGATTAAAGTCATCAAAGGTCAAGGACACTCCAAACTGTGAAGGCAAATGATGTGCCAATCAAAAAAGACAAAGCACTGTTTCAAGATCAAACATGGATGAAAGCCAGGTCAGAGATGCTGAGGTCAAGGTGAGGTCAAGGTGAGGCCCATGTGAGGTCAAGGTGATTAATGATGACCTCAAAATGGGAATAAACAGCATAAGAGGACTTGCTGATTGAATGGGCTGCGCAGTGCAGGATGGTTCAAAGTGAAATGAAGCACGAAAAGCAAAACACACCATTACCATTACGACACCCCCTGGTTAGTACCCTACCACATACAACGATGAACATTTCCACCTGTAGTACACAATGTGATATGGGAGTGAAGGGTAGAATTAATAAACACAAAACAACTTAAAATTAATCAGAACAAAAATTGGAGTTAATAATTTTAAAACACCAGCAATTAAAACATGTAACAAAACAGAAAATGGATGTGGAAATAGAAAGAGGATAGAAATAGATATATGTGAAGTGAATGTCAAAAACGGACAGAAATATGAATCGAAGTTTCAAAATTCTCAATGAGTCATGAAGAATGATGTGTGATTAAACTTCCAACAAGAAGTGGTCCGAGAGTTATCTCCCTTGTGGTATTTCACAAAATGTGTATATTCACTGAACACATGTTCAGTAATTAAATAAATACTCCAAATAAGCATACACTGAACACATGTGAATAACATTTACACAAGGGACGTATTTCATGATCCAATTGTTTACTCCATGAAATTAAACTGAACTAAGGGAAACAACTCTCAGAAAAGATTTTGAGCAAGAAATATCACACTATCTAGGACACATGAAAACCAAGCAGGGATGCACAGGTTTTGGGGGGAAATAACCAACCGGCCAGTTTGCCGTGGTGGCATGGGGCATGGGAGGCTGGTCATCGGAGGGACTGTTCATTGTGCTGTATTGACGCTGGTTCTGCATAGCCTAGACACACAGACAGACATAGGGAGTAACCATTGCACTGTTTGCATTATGTCAAGACTATCTTGACAGAGTGTATTCATATTATAAAAAAGAGTTGGGAAAAAACATCAACTTTGATAAGTACATTTCATTTCTTAGACACATAATCATTCTTAATGTTTTCCAAGATAATATAGGCATGAACAAATGATAACAACCATAGATTTATTGTAGATTTAGCAAGAGAAGTAAAAGATGTATTACTATTAAAGTTACAGAAATTACAACTTTCTTCTTACATTGTATATTTAGAAGAAATAGTTAAGTGAAGTCAAGCAAATATAAAGAAAGAAAACTCTTGAACAAGAAACAAAAAGTTGAATCATCTTCAATTTCAATCATATCAGAATAATATTGCAGCACCTGTAATAAAACTCAAAGGAAAATGAAAAACAATAAACAAGAGTATAATCTCACACAGAAAAATACCAATACATGTCAATAATGTCAATAATTAGTTGGTTAGTCAAATCAAGCTTCAAGTTGTTAAACGAATTAGCAGTATATTTAAGAAATGAAAGTAATTTAGAGAACACCATTTAAAAAAGTTAATGCAAACAAACAGTTCATATTTTTAATTTACAGAGTGATGTTTAAGCATTGTTTCAGCAATATTCCAGTCAATGGTAATGAGCTTCAGACAATGTACTGACTGACTGAGTTTAGTTTTACGCCGCTTTTAGCAATATTCCAGCAATATCACGGCGGGGAACACCAGAAATGGGCTTAACACATTGTGCCCATGTGGGGAATCGAACCCAGGTCTTCGGCGTGACGAGCCAACGCTTGAACCACTAGGCTACCCCACCGCCCCTTCAGACAATGTAGCTATTTGGAGAATTGAAACTGGGTGTTCGGCTGGACAAGCCGACACTCGCAACACTGGGTTCCCCACAGTGTGACAAGATTATGATACATACACCCCAGTATTAGTATTACCAGAGCTTAGGATTAATTCAGACAGACTTTCTTCACACATTATCTCAAATAATAACATACCCTTACAAATTAAAGTTCAAAATAAAGAAAAAGATAAGACTATATCTCTCCAACATTAAAAGAAACGAGCAGATTAGTGGAATTTGTTTTAGAAGATATCTCCTCAATATACAAAGCACATTGTTGTGACTAATGAAAAGTGTAGGCCGATATGCCTTCAGGTTAGAAAGTTAGTGCATCAGTAATGTGAGTATATACTGTAGGAAGGTAAGTAAGGTAAGTAAGAACTTACACTCCTCACTGCATTGGAGGGAGGCATCTGCTGCATTTCCATCTCTTCATCCACACCCACCCTGGAGGAAAGGTCACGGTCACACAAATAAAGGTAACAACGTCAATGCAGTCACAGTATATCATCATCTATCCATGTCACTGAGGTCAAGGTCACATGAAATACACAGGTAATTTTGTTTTTGAGGTCAAGGGGAAATCAGATTCGAAGGTCATTCTAACACTAAGGTCAGGATGACATCAAATTCAAAGGTCACATTATGAGACAGAGGTCAAGGTCAAAACTAAAAAGTTAAATCATATTGGAAGTTAATGTGATATAATTGGGCTCAGTAAAACCAATATATAGGCCAACAGAGTAAACAACAACTTGCCTGGCAGGTTCAGTGAGTGAGTATGGTTTAACGCCACTTTTGCAATATTCCAGCAATATCACGATAGGGGACACCAGAAATGGGCTTCACACATTGTGCCCATGTGGGGAAAGCCTCCCCCACCACTCCACTGGCAGGTTCACGAAAATGCCCTCAATAAACATTAATATATTAATAAGCCCTGTTTTATTGGCATTTTCTCAATAATAATATGGCCAATTACATAGCACTTAACTTCATGCTACACAGACATTGTGTAAAAAGTAATAAACATATGACATATCCCACCAGGTACCCATATTCTGCTGGGTGAACAGATGAAGTTTTGAACAAATTCAATTGCCCAAGAATCCAGTCAAGGGCATTAGTTGAAGGTTCATTTAGTACATTTCATGATGTGATACAGCTGCAGACTTACAACCGGAGAGCTATGAAGTCTCACCTTATTTTGAGCCACTGCAACATGGGAGTAGTGAGGCCTCCACACAGGACTACAGTTGCCAGGACGATGATCATCGTCGCTGACACGATGTACTGCCGTGGCAATGTTGACGTGTTCCTTATAGCCAGGGCAAAGGCGATGGCGCCTCGTAAACCTATAGACAGATATATCACTAAATTACATGGGATCTTGAAGCAGATATTATAAGTTGTTCAGTGGTCAGGAGGGGGACATGGGTTGATGTACCCTCGATGTTTGTTTATGTTCCCTGAGCCCGACATTTATGTGTGAGGTAAATTATATCACTATATTACTCATAATTTTGAGGCAGATATATCAGACAGCAGATATAGTTCCTATGTAAAGTGGGTACATACCTGAAAACATCATCATGTGCTGGAAGTTCCAGCCGATCTTGTTGGTTCTCCCCAGGTTCAGCAAGAAGGACAATGGGTAGATATTCAAAAATCTACCAATGATTATAGCAAGCTGGAGGATTGTTAAGGAAACTATCTGATCATGTTTCACCATAAACCAAACCACGACCTTCTACCTCCAAACACCACAGCCTTCAACCTCCAGCCACAACACAGCCTTCAACCACCACCCACAACACAGCCTTCAACCACCAGCCACAACACAGCCTTCAACCTCCACCCACAACACAGCCTTCAACCACTACCCACAACACAGCCTTCAACAACCACCCACAACACAGCCTTCAACATCCAGCCACAACACAGCCTTCAACCTCCACCCACAACACAGCCTTCAACCACAAGCCACAACACAGCCTTCAACCACCACCCACAACAAGCCTTCAGCCTCCAGCAGCCTTCAACCACCACCCACAACACAGCCTTCAACCCCCCAGCCACACACAGCCTTCAACCACCAGCCACAACACAGCCTTCAACCTCCAGCCACAACACAGCCTTCAACATCCAGCCACAGCCACAGTTGGTTCTCAAGCTTCCACAAGCCACAACACACACAGCTTCAACCATCCAGCCACCACAACACAGCCTTCAACCACCACACAACACAGCCTTCAACCTCCAGCCACAACACAGCCTTCAACCTCCAGCTACAACACAGCCTTTCAACCACCACAGCCACAACACAGCCTTCAGCCAACCACCACCCACAACACAGCCTTCAACCACCACCCACAACACAGCCTTCAACCACAAGCCACAACACAGCCTTCTCCAGCCACAACACAGCCTTCAAACAACCAGCCAGCCACAACACAGCCTTCAACCTCCAGCCACAACACAGCCTTCAACCACCAGCCACAAACACAGCCCTTCAACCACCAGCCACAACACACCTCACCAGCACAGCCTTCAACCTCCAGCCACAACACAGCCTTCAACCTCCAGCCACAACACAGCCTTCAACCTTACCCACAACACAGCCTTCAACCTCCAGCCACAACACAGCCTTCAACCTCCACCCAGAACACAGCCTCTTCAACCACCACAACACAGCCTTCAACCCTCCAGCCACACCACAGCCTTTCAACCTCCAGCCACACCACAGCCTTCAACCACCACCCACAACACAGCCTTCAACCCACCCACAACACACAGCCTTCAACCTCCAGCCACAACACAGCCTTCAACCTCCAGCCACACACAGCCTTCAACCACCACCCACAACACAGCCTTCAACCTCCAGCCACAACACAGCCTTCAACCTCCAGCCACACACACAGCCTTCAACCTCCAGCCACACACTTCAACAGCCACAACACAGCTTTCAACCTCCAGCCACAACACAGCCTTCTTCACACCACAGCCTTCAACCACACAGCCTTCAACCTCCAGCTACAACACAGCCTTCAACCTCCAGCCACACCACAGCCTTCAACCACCACCCACAACACAGCCTTCAACCTCCAGCCACACCACAGCCTTCAACCACCACCCACAACACAGCCTTCAACCTCCAGCCACAACACAGCCTTCAACCACTACCCACAACACAGCCTTCAACCACCACCCACAACACAGCCTTCAACCTCCACCAACAACACAGCCTTCAACCACCACCCACAACACAGCCTTCAACCTCCACCCACAACACAGCCTTCAACCTCCAGCCACAACTCAGCCTCCACAGTCTTCAGCCTCCAAACATCACAGCCTTCAACCTCCAGCCACACCACAGCCTTCAACCTCTAGCCACAACACAGCCTTCAACCTCCAGCCACACCACAGCCTTCAACCTCCACAGTCTTTAGCCTCCAAACATCACAGCCTTCAACCTCCAGCCACAACACAGCCTTCAACCTCCACAGTCTTCAGCCTCCAAACATCACAGTCTTCAGCCTCCAAACATCACAGCCTTCAACCTCCAGCCACACCACAGCCTTCAACCTCTAGCTACACCACAACCTTCAATCTCCAAACACCACAACCTTCAACCTCCAGCCACAACACAACCTTCAACCACTACCCACAACACAGCCTTCAACCTCCTATCACAACGGCCTTGTACCTCCAACCACCACAGCCTTCAACCTCCAAACACCACAACCTTCAACCTCCAAACACCACAACCTTCAACCTCCAAACATCACATATACAAAAGATAAAGGATACAAATGAAGCGAATATGAATCCAGCATCCCAGCGAATTCTGCTCTCTTGAAAAGTGAAGACGGACACTCCGATGTACAGAAACACAAAGTTCTCTGACAGGAAGTTTGTCAGCTCAAACAACTGTGAACAAAAAACACATCATCAGCGACCCTGGAGGAATTTTCCTTTGGTATTTGAATCTGGAAACACCTACATCTTCAACTTTACTTCTCAGGGTTATGAAAATGCCACATTTAACTTAAAACATTGCATCATAACGTGTTATGATGAACCACTTACATATTTACTTTAGTAAGAATGATGTGAAACGAGACAATGCCTTTCATAATGCATTTGCTCAATACATTCCTGTCACAAAATTAGAAAAAGAAGCAAACATTGCCATAATTAAGTTTTGAAAGAAAATGGTTACCCAGTATGTGGATTAGGGCTGCACAATATAACTGGTTTACCGGTATTTACCGGTTCAGACATGAAAACGATATGTATTGCGATACACTGATACCGAAAATCGGTATGTTGATTTGCATTCGGAAAAGTTCGTAACACTCAGAAATCTTCGGATATTTGCTTGTTTCATTTGTGCCAAATATTATTTACATTTTCATTTTATCATGATTAAAAGTTGTTAATCATAGTTGCATAGTGAGTTTGTTGAGTTTTGCTATATAAATCATGCATTAACTCGATTATAAGCAGTTTTTTGTTAAAAAATATTTCATGCAATTATATGTATGCTTTCGCACCGCAATATATCGAAATATGAAAATTCTCTGCAATACGCACCCCAAATGTAGTACACTTGTGTACACTTGAGTAGAGTTTATCCTCATGTTACAAGCTCAGTCCTCACTCCATATCTCACACTGATGCTTCATCACACCAAATGTGAGTGAGCGAGCTTAGTTTTACGCAGCACTCAGCATTATTCCAGCTATATGACAGCGGTCTGTAAATACTAGTAATCAAGTCTGGACCATACAATCCAGTGATCAATGAAATGAGCATCGATCTACACAACTGGGATACGATGACATGTGGCAACCAAGTAAGTGAGCCTGACCACTCAATCCAGTTAGTCGCCTCTCACGACAAGCATGGGTTACTGAAGATCAGTTCTAATCGCGATCTTCATGGGTCCACACTGAATGTGAATCCCTTACACTGATGTTGCATACCTGTTTTGTTCTGTCTTTAGACTCAGCAGAAAGGTTGTTGTAGGTGTAGTGGGCCTGGGTGATTCCACAGAATAACACTGCAACAATACCTGCAACAACAAAACAACACATAGGAAAACAGTCTTGGGGAGTGAGTGAGAGTATGGTTTTATGCCACATTTAGCATTATTCCAGCAATATTACGGTGGGGGACACCAGAAATGGGCTTCACACATTGTACCCATGTGGGGAATCGAACTTGGGTTTTCAACAAGCAAACGCTTAGACCACTAGGCTACCCCACCAACCCGAGTCTGGGGGAAGGGAGTTTTGAGCAAGTGGACAGGATAGATGAAGGGGAGAGGTGTCTTCAACATGTGGACAGGAGATGAAGGGGAGAGGTGTGTTGAACAGGTGGACGGGAGAGATGAAGGGGAGAGGTGTCTTCAACATGTGGATAGGAGATGAAGGGGAGAATTGTCTTGAACAGGTGGACGGGAGAGATAAAGGGGAGAGGTGTGTTGAACAGGTGGACGGGAGAGATGAAGGGGAGAGGTGTCTTGAACAGGTGGACGGGAGAGATGAAGGGGAGAGGTGTGTTGAACAGGTGGACGGGAGAGATGAAGGGGAGAGGTGTGTTGAACAGGTGGACGGAGAGATGAAGGGGAGAGGTGTGTTGAATAGGTGGACGGGAGAGATGAAGGGGAGAGGTGTCTTGAACAGGTGGACGGGAGAGATAAAGGGGAGAGGTGTCTTGAACAGGTGGACGGGAGAGATGAAGGGGAGAGATGTCTTCAACATGTGGACAGGAGATGAAGGGGAGAGGTGTCTTGTCTTGTGGGTGGATATAAGGGAGTCTGGGAGGACATAAGGGAGTGTGGGTGGATATAAGGGAGTCTGAAAGGATATAAGGAAGTGTGGGTGGATATAAGGGAGTGTGGGTGGATATAAGGAAGTGTGGGTGGATATAAGGGAGTCTGGGAGGATAAAAGGGAGTCTGAGAGGATATAAGGGAGTCTGAGAGGATATAAGGAAGTGTGGGTGGATATAAGGGAGTGTGGGTGGATATAAGGGAGTCTGGGGAGGATATAAAAGTCTGGGAGTCTAAGGAGTCTGAGTGGATATAAGGGAGTCTGGGAGTCTAAGGAGTCTGGAGGATATAAAGGAGTCTGGGAGGATATAAGGGAGTCTGAGGGATATAAAGGGAGTCTGGGAGGATATAAGGGAGTCTGAGGGGATATAAGGGAGTCTGGGAGGATATAAGGGAGTCTGAGGATATAAGGGAGTCTGGGAGGATAAAGGAGTCTGAGGTGGATATAAGGGAGTCTGGGAGAGGATATAAAGTCTGGGGTATAAGGGAGGGATATAAGGAGTCTGAGGATAGGGAGTCTGAGTGGATATAAGGGAGTCTGGGTGGATATAAGGGAGTCTGGGTGGATATAAGGAGGGAGGATATAAGGGAGTCTGAGTGGATATAAGGGAGTCTGGGGAGGATATAAGGGAGTCTGAGGTGGATATAAGGGAGTCTGGGAGGATATAAGGAGGAGTGGATATAAGGGAGTCTGAGGAGGATATAAGGGAGTCTGGGAGGATATAAGGGAGTCTGAGTGGATATAAGGGAGTCTGAGTGGATATAAGGGAGTCTGGGAGGATATAAGGGAGTCTGGGAGGATATAAGGGAGTCTGAGTGGATATAAGGAGTCTGGGAGGAGGATATAAGGGAGTCTGAGTGGATATAAGGGAGTCTGGGAGGATATAAGGGAGTCTGGGAGGATATAAGGGAGTCTGGGAGGATATAAGGGAGTCTGAGTGGATATAAGGGAGTCTGGGAGGATATAAGGGAGTCTGGGAGGATATAAGGGAGTCTGGGAGGATATAAGGGAGTCTGAGTGGATATAAGGGAGTCTGGGAGGATATAAGGGAGTCTGGGAGGATATAAGGGAGTCTGGGAGGGAGTCTGGGAGGATATAAGGGAGTCTGGGAGGATATAAGGGGGTCCAGAAGGGTCAAGGGGAGTTGTAAGGGGAAGTGTGGGAAAGGATGTGAAGAAGGGGGGTGTGTGTCCTACCTGTGAGCCCTGCCACCTCAGCTGTCTGGAAGGAGCTGTACGACATGAGGAAGAAGAGCGCCGTCTCCAGCAGCGGGAAGTCACGGATCTTCGTGTACTTTGTGATCTGTATCTGTCAAGGATTTATCCTGTGCCTTTGAGAGAATGTCATAGTTGTGAATGGTGGTGTATGTGGATCTGTACACCATATACTGAAAGCGTTATATCTCGATCACCACTGAGTGAGTGGGATGCTATGACATCAATGTTTCAGTTTCATCACTGCACGTCAGCACGTGGTGATGTTAGTCTTACACGTTTACCATCTAGGGAAAACCCACAGACAAGGGTATGATAGTGACACAGTAAAGACTATGAAAATATTAACAACAAATGACAAACAGTATGCTTCCTGATCATAACCTGAAAATCCTTAGGACAAGTGAAGTTAAAATAAATTACTGTGAATTTGAAAGCAGAAATGAAATTGTAGTGAAATCAAGTGCCAAGGGAAAATCTATCATAATGTTTTTAAGTAGAATATTGAATGTAAGTACACAAATGTCTAAATGAAAGCACTGAAATCACACATTCAATAATCAAACTTCGGACCTTGCTGTGTCAAATGTGTTTAGCAGGTCAAACACTCGCTATCCGTTTTTACTCAAGTGGCTGTAAAGCACTCGTTTGATGACACTGTGGTCTGCCATTTTTCATTGTCTGTTTTACGCTATTTCCGCTTTTCAAATTTGATCCAGCGTTGGGTTTAAGCATGTCCTGAAGTATAAAGTTGTAGAATCGGACAGTTGCCAGGATCAATTTACTTCCCCTTCACAAGTACCAAATAATGGTTCAGCAAGGATACAAGTGCTGTGGCACATCCCATGAGAGATCCAATGGCAAAGGCACCACCAAATATCCCCAGGAAATTGCCAAGAGCTTTAAAAAATGCCTCTGCATTAAACTTTTTCCCTCCTGAGAGTTGTCCATATGTTTCCACAGATCTGAAACATCAAATCATTCAACCATCATAGAATACTTTTAGAATAGTTTAAGATTGGTTGGTGGGTTTGTTGTTAAAATATTCCAGTTATAAACCAGAATCAGAATTGTGGTAATATAGGGTCTAAGGCATATTTTGTTACATATTTATTGAATGCAATTTCCTCTATTATTATTAGCCATAGTATTTGTGTATTATAGGGTCTAAGGCACGTTACATATTTATTGAAAAATAATAGAAACAACTGTGTGTATGAGTAATATAAACACTCAACATGTTTTTTCCCTAAAAATATACAATCAATCAAACATAGCACACAAACAATTCTCATTTCAATTTCTTATCATGAAGCACCAATGTGTTGAGCCTGAAGGAAGTCCTTACCCTGATAAAACTATAGCCACAGCATCGTTGAAGACACTTTCTCCAAACACAATTGCGTACAAATCCACGTCGACATGGAGGTCGTGAAAAAGTGCCAGCACCGTTACTGAAACAGTTCGACAAACCGATCAAACACAGTGTAAACATAGCTGATGTGAACACACAAGTTTGTTATATTCAATATGGTGTCAGCAAATTCCACTTTGGATACAAGTTGCAGTTACCAGAGCACTAACCAATAAATAGTTACCTCTCCACCCGGGTCGCACACCCCCTCTGTCTCAGACCCTTCTGTCACCCCTCAACCCGGTCTCACACCCTCTGGCAGACTAGCACTCACAACCAAGGGTCTCAACACCCTCTGTCAAGACTACCCCTCAACCCGGGTCACACTCCTCACAAGATTACTCCTCAACCCGGGTCTCTGTACTGTCTACCCCCTCAAACCCTGGGTCTCACACCCTTCTGTCAAGACTACCCCTAAACCCAGGTCTCACACTCTTCTGTCAAGACTACCCCTCAACCCGGGTCTCACACCCCTCTGTCAAGACTACCCCTCAACCCAGGTCTCACACCCCTCTGTCAAGACTACCCCTCAACCCGGGTCTCACACCCTTCTGTCAAGACTACCCCTCAACCCAGGTCTCACAGTCCTCTGTCAAGACTACCCCTCAACCCGGGTCTCACACCCCTCTGTCAAGACTACCCCTCAACCCGGGTCACACACCCCTCTGTCAAGACTACCCCTCAACCCGGGTCACACACCCCTCTGTCAAGACTACCCCTCAACCCGGGTCACACACCCCTCTGTCAAGACTACCCCTCAACCCGGGTCTCACAGCCCTCTGTCAAGACTACCCCTCAACCCGGGTCACACACCCCTCTGTCAAGAATACCCCTCAACCCAGGTCACACACCCCTCTGTCAAGACTACCCCTCAACCCGGGTCTCACACCCTCTGTCAAGACTACCCCTCAACCCGGGTCTCACAGCCCTCTGTCAAGACTACCCCTCAACCCGGTCACACACCTTCTGTCAAGACTACTCCCTCAACCCGGGTCACACACCCTCTGTCAAGACTACCCCTCAACCCAGGTCTCACACCCTCTGTCAAGACTACTCCTCAACCCGGGTCTCACACCCCCTCTGTCAAGACTACCCCTCAACCCGGGTCTCACACCCTTCTCAACCCAGGTCACACACCCCTCAACCAAGGTCACTCCTCTGTCAAGACTACCCCTCAACCGGGTCTCAACCCTGTCAAGGTCAACCCCGGGTCTCACACCCCTCTGTCAAGACTACCCCTCAACCCAGGTCTCACTACACCCCCTTCTGTCATGACTACCCCTCAACCCGGGTCACACACCCCTCTGTCAAGACTACCCCTCAACCCGGGTCTCACACCCCTCTGTCAAGACTACCCCTCAACCCGGGTCACACACCCCTCTGTCAAGACTACCCCTCAACCCGGGTCTCACACCCCTCTGTCAAGACTACCCCTCAACCCAGGTCTCACACCCTTCTGTCAAGACTACTCCTCAACCTGGGTCATGGGGCGAGGACCCCACTGTTTAGACTTCACCTGAACCCTGTGGACATACCTGGGTCTGTGGCGGAGATGATGGCTCCAAAGAAGAAGCAGTCATTGAGTGTGAACTCTGTATAGGACATTAGACGCGTCAGCCCAAACATCGTCCCCCTGTAAACACAAACACCCAGTTTACAACCTTCACCAACACAGACTGATCCTCAAATCATTTACAACAAAGACATAAGGGCTGACTATTGAGGGGGAAACAATTATTGCAATAGCGATAGTCTATTGTGACCAACTATTACAATACTATTGCAATAGCTTCAGAGGTACAGATAAGCTCGCGTGTCTGCGTGAAATGCATAAATATTTATGTGAAAACTCAACTCCTATTAAGTCTATTATGCATAAGTATGCTTGAAGTTTTGTAAATACTCAATAAATGTGATCTTACATGCATACACACAAAATGTCAAATCTGAGCTTATGCACGGTGGTTAGATAAAATAACTGAGGTATACTGAGAGGTTCTATTTCAGGACATGAACTTGACAACTTGCAGTCTTTCTTATCGTTTCTCATATTACAGATCAAATATAAATCACAAACACTAACATTAAAACTTTATTAGAGTTGTAAAATTAATGGAAAATGGCAAAATACCCAATTGAGTTTGAGTGAAGTGAGTACAATTTATTTCATTACTCAAAGGATAATTAGGATACCCATGTGAGATGAAGACAAGCTGAAGTACATAACTCAATGACCCAAAAGTTATCTGTAGCTCTGAGCTGTTTTCTCCTTTAATTGTCTCAATTGAAGTCATTTCCTAAATAAATGTATGTGCACCTTGAGATTGGTATACTTACCCTACAGCTAAACAGGATATTGTGGTGCCAATAAAGGCAAACATTATGATGGCCCCAAGATTCTTGAAGAAATGACGCTGAAAGACAAAACAACACAAATGCATTCGCCAACAATCATACACGTCAACTTATCGGCTATCAATGCTCATTTCATTTCAACTTGAATATGATTAATAAACAGTTGCTCATTAATGATTTCTTTTCCGTACATATTATTCCACCATTGACTGAAAGTAACATATGTTATATTTGGGATTACACTTTCTTAGTAAAGTACAAATTCTAGTACTTTTGTTGGGTAGAGTCCCATCCCGGATTCGAACCCACACCCTCAGAGTCAGGCACCTAATCGCCAGAATGAATGGGACTCAACCCAACAAAAGTACTAGAATCTGTACTTTACTAAGAAAGTGTAATCCCAAATATAACATATGTACCATTTGACCACTTTCTAAATGGCACTGTGTAATCATTGATTGAAAGGATTTTCAGTCAAGTACTTTTCCAGTTCACTGCGAGTAGTGGTATTTAATTACAGTTGGGGCAGTGGGGTAGCCTAGTGGTTAAAGCATCCACTCATCATGCTGAAGTCCCGGGTTCGATTCCCCACATGGGTACAATGTGTGAAGCCCATTTCTGGTGTCCCCTGCTGTGATTTTGCTGAAATATTGCTAAAAGCAACATAAAACTACTAATACAAGACAAATCTTATGGATAACAACTTCTTGATGTATTTTACACAACGTTTCCAGCTAGTTGTGTAAAATAAATCAAGAAGTTATTATCCATAAGATTTGTCTAGTATTACTACACCAACTTCTAAATGCCTTTGAAGAATTTCAACATAAAACTAAACGCACTCACTCACTCTGCATCTCAAACAATTGGCACCCACTTGGATAAATTAATTTTGTGAGGAATGAAGTGTCAACTCAACTTCTGGTTGCTTTTCAACAGTTAGGAAAGGATTAGCAACAGTTTTAATAATGATCATCATCCCCACAGAGCCAGATGGACAATACTCACTCGCTTCATACTGTACCCAGCCTCAAATATAATCAGAGGCAGCATCACATTGAAGAACAGCTCAGGTTCAAATGTCACCTGTAGAAAGAATACATGTTAAATAAGTATCTCAAACAGTGAAATAACTTGATCTATTCAGAGAAAGAAATTTGTTCATCTGGCTAGCTATTCTCGAAACGTTTGTAGCCCTACAAACTTCTTAAGCCCAATCTTAACACATTGGCTACGATCAAAGTTAAGAATTCTTAGGGCTTCGAACGTTTTGAGAATAAGGGCCGAGCTCATGTTTAACTCGACTCAATTCATATACAATCAAGCCCTCACTTCCCTATGATCCTTCACAGAAACCCAAGAACAAAGCAAGATAAAGACTCTTTTTACCAATAGGGGTGACTATTGAGGGGGAAACAACTATAACGATAGTCTATTGAGACCAACTAATGCAATACTAATGCAATAGTTTTTACTCTCCTTGAATTGGCTCATATGAAGTCATTTCCCAAATGAATGTATAATTTACATGAAATAAAAACAATTTGAAGTAGTTTCAGTCTGTTTTAATAACTGACAAGAAACTTGAAACCCAGATCAAGTAAACAGTTAAAACAATCTCAATGAAGCTGTATTTTGCAAGTCAATTACTAAACTATCAATAGTCACACATAATATCGATGCATCAATAGTTTTTTTGTTTCTACCACTGATTAATTGCTATTGGAGACTCAACAATTGCAGTCCATCGATAGTTGGATGAATTGTTATAGCCCTAGTTACCAAAGGGCCTAGAAAAACCATGTGGGAACACTTTACAATATTTACATGTGCATCGCAACACTGACAGACAGACAGACAGACAGACAACCCACTCACAGCTCTCTACAGGGACTTACTGGGCCCTATTCTGCCCTGTACACCTCAAGCTCACATCAACACAACCCTGACAACCCACTCACAGCTCTCTACAGGGACTTACTGGGACCTATTCTGCCCTGTACAGCTCAAGCTCACATCAATACAACCCTGACAGGCCACTCACAGCTCTCTCTCTACAGGGACTTACTGGGACCTATTCTGCCCTGTACACCTCAAGCTCACATCAATACAACCCTGACAGGCCACTCACAGCTCTCTACAGGGACTTACTGGGACCTATTCTGCCCTGTACACCTCAAGCTCACATCAATACAACCCTGACAGGCCACTCACAGCTCTCTACAGGGACTTACTGGGACCTATTCTGCCCTGTACACCTCAAGCTCACATCAATACAACCCTGACAGGCCACTCACAGCTCTCTACAGGGACTTGTACACTGGGACCTATTCTGCCCTGACAACCCCACTCACACCTCAAGCCCTCACATCAACACAACCCTGACAACCCACTCACAGCTCTCTACAGGGACTTACTGGGCCCTATTCTGCCCTGTACACCTCAAGCTCACATCAACACAACCCTGACAACCCACTCACAGCTCTCTACAGGGACTTACTGGGACCTATTCTGCCCTGTACACCTCAAGCTCACATCAATACAACCCTGACAACCCACTCACAGCTCTCTACAGGGACTTACTGGGCCCTATTCTGCCCTGTACACCTCAAGCTCACATCAACACAACCCTGACAGGCCACTCACAGCTCTCTACAGGGCCATACTGGGCCCTATTCTGCCCTGTACAGCTCAAGCTCACATCAATACAACCCTGACAGACAACCCACTCACAGCTCTCTACAAGGACTTACTGGGACCTATTCTGCCCTGTACAGCTCAAGCTCACATCAATACAACCCTGAAAGGCCACTCACAGCTTTCTCCAGCATGGGTTCAGGTTTGGCGGATCCATCGCTGGTCAGGTTATACTTGAATGTCTGATTGTCGGTGGAGTTCTTGCTGTCCGGGAGGCTGATGTACAATGTAGGAGGGGCGTTCCCGGAGTAGAACGTACTGTTGGTGTTGTTTGACAGCACGGCCCACACTTTGGAATCATCGGGGGTAACTGAGGGTGTGGGCGTGGCATAGATGAACTTGATGATCACGCCAACAATCAGTCCTGTAACCATGGAAACCAAACATATTATTCTTAAAAACCTGAAAGGGGGCAACTCAGTCCGTAGTACATGTTATTACCTGATCTATTGTATTTGTTACCAAATGGTATATATATCTTACATGGTCTGTAGCATATGTTATTATGTGGTGTACCGTATATGTTACTACCTGGTCTATAGTAAATGTTATTACCTGGTTCAAAGCATGTTATCACATGGTCTATAGCTCATTATGAGAAGGTCTACAGTATATGTTATTACCTGGTCCATAGCATGTTATTACAAGGTCTACAGTATATGTTATTACCTGGTCCATAGCATGTTATTACAAGGTCTATAGTATATATGTTATTACCTGGTCCATAGCATGTTATTACAAGGTCTATAGTATATATGTTATTACCTGGTCCATAGCATGTTATTACAAGGTCTATAGTATATATGTTATTACCTGGTCCATAGCATGTTATTACAAGGTCTATAGTATATATGTTATTACCTGGTCCATAGCATGTTATTACAAGGTCTATAGTATATGTTATTACCTGGTCTATAGCATGTTATTACAAGGTCTATAGTATATGTTATTACCTGGTCCATAGCATGTTATTACAAGGTCTATAGTATATGTTATATATTGGCCCATAGTATGAAACATGAGGGTCCTGGAAGGTAATGAGAAGACGTAGACTGTACTGTCAGGTTTAACGATTACTTTAATTACATGAACTTATATTTCTTGTCACGAATCTTTCACCGTGAATATTATTGTGAGTCTCTGGGAAACACAGTATGTTGTATATTTCAGCACCCATTCTATACATTCATGCATACTGGATACACATTTCTGTGTAAAACACAGATGTATTAATTACCTCAATCATATTTCTGGAATACGAGGTGTAGAACAGCAAACAAATTTATCTCTGAGATATCACCGTTTTTGCTGACTAGACAAAACATTGTAACATGTGTCTAGTTAATAACTAAAACCTGGTGATTTTGAAATGAAATATATGCTCTGAAGCTGTAATGAATTGTACTGCAACAATAGCTCTAATACACCCTACATACTGTATAGAGTTACATTCCTGAACACTGAATGGCGACATTAGCTTCAAGTTTCATCTGCATTACAAATTGAATTTGATCCTTCCTAACAGACCTGATTTTAGTGAGTATTGACTTACACAAACTGTTGGTTTAACAAATACTATGTTCACAGGGCTTGAAATTCTAAACTAAAGCATCATGATTAAATTCAGTTCAGATAACTGGTTTGCAATGGTTAACACACTATAACGGTACATCAAATTAAATTGTGTGTGAATCAAGTTGAATCTGCTGAACTCATGGAATTGTTGGACAGTGTACTGTTAAAGGTCACATGCAACCAAAAAATCAAACATAATTAAAACACAATTATCACTTCTTCATGACATATAATATGCATTGCTGATTATGAAAAACAAATAAACAAAATTATAAGCGAATAATCGCAATTCAGAAGTGCAATATTTTGTACCTCGGTTTACCTCCCTCAAAAGCGAAGCAGCGGGATACCGAACCCAGTCAGAGCGGGTGGGTGTGCACTCAAGTGTAACGGCTGGTTCATTAGCAGATGACGCCTTCATTGTGTGTGTATATATAGAGATGTTGGGTTTTGTAAATACATGCTCATTTTTTGTGTATAACATTTTGCAATCAACAGACATCATAACATGTCATGTGTTCAAGTATCACACCTGCCTGTCTGTGTTATTACATAATGTGACAGAGACCCGAACTCGGGCCTTAAATCAATCGCGCTTTGTTTATGGTGTATAGCCTGATTGGTGTTAAGTTCAAATTGCATGTGGTCAGTGATCGCAGCTGTGTATTGAATATTGTCATTAGCAGACAGGCAGGCAGACACACAGGTGTCAATAAAACAAGACATTGAGTTTTGTCTGTGACAACGACATATCTATATCACAGTTAGAAATTGTGTCAACGCTTAAATAATGACATTGCTTTTAATTATCGAACTGAGAAAGTGTCACCGGTAAGAAGAACGTGTGGTGAAATAGACAAATGAAATTATATAAACAGTTTATTTACTGTCATAACATATAAAAGCTCGCCTGTGAGATATCAACAAAACATTAGAAAAATAGCTCACACCAAAGCCTTCACCGAGTATTCACCCGACAACCCGCTTCCAAGCTGCGCGAACCTATTTCACTCCAAGACATGCTATGAGCGCAGCCCAGCTGTTGAAACCCGCTTTCCCCAGAAAAGTCGGGGAAAATTAGTGAAACATTTGAACTCCGATTTTGGCGTTTTTTTTTTTTCATCGTTATTTTTCAACTTTATAAGTTGAATTTGCATTTTGACGATTTGTTTCGTATGTCCACACCGAAAGGTATCAGAATCTGCAAAGTTGTGTTTTACGTTGCATGTGACCTTTAAGTAACTAGTACACACATGGTTATGCAATAACCAAGGACATCTCAGATTCCAAGGTACAGATAAATGCCCTTGGCAAGCAACTTGTGATGAACAACTTCTTTATTACAGTGAGACAGATGTTTCCGTGAAGGTTCTAACACTGTTACAAACCACCATATTGTTATCCTTCCTTGTCAGTACCAGTAATGCATTTCCCTACACAGATAGATAGGAAGCAGATCTTAATTCAGATATTTATTAGCAGTAGAATTAAATCAATCAGCAAGCAAACACTATTTAAATTGGAGAAAAATTACATTTATGAGGATGTCTTCAAGTAATCAACACCAGACCTCTTTTGTTCCTTTCGATACTACATCAGCAAATAAAACACTGCAATGACTTTATTCCCTATTTTATGAAATAATCATTTAATCACTATCAGATTGTTCTATATGTTACTGTCTTTCTACTGATTGACATTCAAGAAAAGTCTGCCACTGTATCATATAGGATCTATTCTGGCTAGTGAACAGTTATCGCCGCGTAACAGTTATCGCCAATACATCAGTATGATTATCACACTTGCGCAGTTTTTTTCCCCACAGTATTTGACAACAATAAAGGGCAGCAAAAGAAAATCCTTCACAGTAAGTAACATAAGAGAAAAATTAAAGATAAAGTTTATGAGCCAGATAAAAAAATTTTAAGTTAGTCGGGGGGATGTCCCACGACCTATATGATAGCAAGTTCAATGTCACAAGTCATTAATTGTTTCATTCCCTATCAATCTACTGTAAAAGAAACACTCAAATAGTCACACAATCAGTTCGAGGTTACTGTATGATATAAATATATGTATTACTTCACAAATAGCATGAGAAATTCTAAATGGCGATAACTGTTACATCTATTTATACCGCCATGATTCCCTTACGCCGCGTTATATAAAAACATAATCAGTGGCAGTAAACGGGCTGGACACATCAGTGAATAGCTAATTAAGTATCATGATTAATTTTGTTTCCTTAATTTAACGAACCACGGAGTAACTTTGTAAATACCGCTAAAATATGGCGATAACTGTTCGGTATCCAGTAGCACCCTTCAAACAAATACTACAAAACTAATACTTGTGTTTCACGTTTGACAAGGAAATATTATGCAAAGTTCACCTAAATTAAAGAAGCATACAGAATTTGAACATTGGGGGTGGGTATATATGTTTGTTAACATATCATGTTTTTCATTTAGCTAAATGCGAGCGGTAGCGGTTGCTGTTTCTAAGGCCACACCCTCGGTTTTGTGGTTTTGTCAAATCAGCTGATATTGGACAGTAAATGATGCGAAACAGAATACAACCACAGCCAAATAACAAATATGATCAGAAAGGATATTGTAATATTATATTCAACAACATGAGCATCAACATTTACTTCGTGCATTATACAAACCCACCATATATCATTGAAAGCCCCGTCTCATGGACAAAACGGAATCGCCGATGCTTGAAAAGCCAGACTGTCAAAATTGTCAACATTAGAAGTCCCAGCAACATCAAAATTGTAAGACTATCTGTCGTGTGTTGCAACGCAACAGTCTTTTCTTTCTGAATATCAGATGCTGCAGGAGATATAGTTGCCGGTTGATCCGCCATCGCGGCAGACATGCAACAACACACAGTCACAAACACAGCGATCACTCTACAATCCGCCATGCTGAATTCACTCCCACTTTGCTACTTCCGGTTAAAACGCAATGACCTACAGTAATATTTTTTGACATGTGAACACGAGATGGTGACTCAATGGCTATATTCACACAACTTGTTCCGTGTGTTTATATGAGTGTGAATGAATTATACGTATGGTTTGTATGTTTGAGGGCCGATGACAGTGAATGGGAGTACATTTGCCATTTTGATTCCGATGACGTGGAATGATCGGTGCCAATACGCGTGCCGTTAGGCTCACACGCAACATAGCCGCTCAGAGCAGGGACAGAGTACAGATTGATGTGGGTTATTGACCAGAACAATTCACTTAGCGGCATTTTAGATTCTGGAACGTTCGGAGCTTAGTCGTGACAAGCCAAGATAATGATGCTGGACATGCTACCCAAACTACGCGCATAGATCGTTACTGGGAACTTATCAACATTGCTCTTAAAGCAATTTGTTTATTTTCAGTAAACTGCGTTTAATGTCGAACACGCTTATAGAAATCTAACGAACTGACGGATATAACGAACTGTGTTTGGTCCCGACCACTTGCTGAATATATTAGCGGAAAGAATTTTGGTCATAACGAACTCAAAAGGATTACTACATTTGCGGATCCAGAGGGGTGTGGTGTGTGTGTCAGGGGGTACGAACCACCACCACCAACCTTTTGAAAATGACTTAAGACCACATTGAAGATTTTTTTTTGCGTTGGCGGAGCCAATGGGGTGGGGTTACGGTGGTCCGAACCCCTGAACACACACACCCAAAATTCCTGGATCCGCCCATGTACTATAATTCTTAATATGCCGTGATCAGTTTGAGTAGTTTACAATATTGTTCGTCGTGGTTTCTTCTTTCTGCTTTATAAACAGACCTATTTAAAGTACTTTCAGAAACATTTGGTAACATATCAGAAAACATAGCTGAGTTGCTCCCCTTACAGATACCAGGAACCGTTGATCATGGATTCGAATGCCAGGTTTTGATCCTTGGTTTGCCAGCACCTATACGCCCGTTTCCAAGGATGGTTTCATCTGTATTTCCCTCACGTCGGGATTTATTGTGACTGAATATTGTTTTACGCAGCTCTTAGAAATATTCCAGCAATTGATATCACGGCGGACAACGCCAAAACGGCTTCGCACATTGTGCCCATTGTTTACATCGGGTGAAACCCAACTCTCATATTGATTACAGCATTCTCCAAGGTCCGATATTTCAAAAACGTTTGTCCGAACTAAATTTAAGTCTCGGTAATTAATGATCATTGATATTTTTTCTGACAATTAATATATTCTGTCACGTACCAAATAGTGAAATTCCGATTTTAAAAAATCTTAATGTATAATGTCACCTTAGATCAGTAATAGTGTTCAAATCCAAATGTTCGCTATGAATAGAATATTGCGTTGCCGAAACAGCAAGACAGGACGGGCACTTGCCTGAGTGACTGTATTGTGACGTCACAATGTAGTGATCTGATATTATCAATGTATTATATTCATCTTCACGTGAGGTCTCATTAGACTATTCCCATCAAAACGCCCACCGTCTCTCGTAACCCAGCAAAAGTGAGCCATTTGTTTGCATGTAAGACTGTGTTTGACGTGTGATTTTGAAGATTTACGCTCTTTTAAAGTGTCTTGGCTGATAAAAACGGTCCCCTTGATGTTCTGATTTCTATATTTAGAACAGTGAACAATTAGGAAGTGAAACAGAAAAGACTTCTTCTACGCTGTCATTCATCTGTTCTTTGGTTTACGGGTAGTCTTATGGTTAATGCATCCGCTCGTCACACCGAAGAACCGGGTTCGATTCCCACTATGGATCCGTACAAGTTGATATCGCTGGAAAGTGGAATATTGATAGACACAACGTAGAACCTAACTCACTCACTCACTTTGACTCACTCTCGGGTCAAATTTCAGACTGGTTGGAATTTCACATCTTTGGTTGGGCTCAGTTAAATTTAATTTCTATTCCATCTTTTCTTGCAGGGGAGTCTTGGTAGATTTTATACAGAGAACACAAACCTTTACTGAAGGTAATTACTTGTGTCAAGACCTGTGAATATCCGGGTTAGAATTGTTCTTTGGCAACCTATGCTTCTCGTAAAATGCGCATCGGTTCCCAATTGCGCAGATCGATGCTCATGATGTTGATCACTGGATGGTCTGGTCCAGACTCAATTATTTACAGACCGCCGCCATATAGCTGGATTATTGCTTAGTACGGCGTAAAACTAAACTCACTCACTCACTCGTAAAAGACGGCTAACTGGATCGAGTGGTCAGTCTCGCTAATTGGTTGACACATGTCATCCTATCCCGGTTGCGTAGATCGGTGCTCATGCTGTTCATCACTGGATTGTCAGGACCAGACTCGATTATTTACAGACCGCCGCAATTTTGGAATATTGCAGAGTGGGGCATTAAACAACAAACAGAACTTATGTCAAGGCCGTGCCTCGCGTTCTGAAACAATCTTTACATCCTTCGCACAAATAATATAGGATGTGCTTATAGGTACATGTGACGTCACGAAAAGGTTATGGGTTTATAGGGTAGACTAATGGCTGAAGGTTCACGAGGGTCAGTGGATAGTTTTGTGGTTACAGCGTCGACATGACATCGAAGGCCCGGGTTCGATTAATAATAATAATAATAATAATGGGTCCATTTATATAGCGCCAAACTCCACACTAGGTATGCTCATAGCGCTTAACAATCAAGGCCATTATTACCCCGGATAACCCAAGCTGCCTGCTAGGCGCTAGAAGGTTATAGTCATATGTCATTTTTCCACCGGGTACCCATTTTCCTGCTGGGTGAACAGAGACAATTTTGAACAAACTCACTTGCCTAAGGTGAGACCACATGTGTCACATGTGCTTCGTTGTGGGCAGGACTCAAGTCCTAGAAACTCTCAGGAGGAGTCAAGCTGCCAAACACGGTCACCCATCCAAGGATTCTCCGAGCTCGACGCTGCTTAACTTCACCGATTTGTGACATGAGCATCGAAGGACCACGCGCCACCACGATTCCACACATTGGAGCAACTGGTGTGAAGACCATTTTCGGTGTCTCCTGTCGTACAATGGCCGGAACTCTGCAACCTGCGGCATAACTCACTCACTCCCTTTAATATATATCATGATCAACAGTCTCGATTTCCTTGAGTATTTTATCTCAGTCAAATTAATAACAAACGAAACCAAATGCATTTGACACGCAAGGAGAAAGCGCTCGTAAAATCAGTTATTTTTTCCCCATTTCTTTAATCTTAGAGCGAGCCAGGTTTGTAGTGATTTTATGGCCTCTGCCATTTTCTTTGAGTACCTGTGAATCTTTAGTTTTACTATTGTGGGAACCGATGTATTCGCCCCAAATGGGGTTGTATTGCAATATATTGTGATTCTATTGCAATATATTTCGATACTACATTGTATGTTTAAGGGGCACAACATACGTATTGCGATAGGTTGGGAGCTTCAGTGTTTGATAGTGGGTGACATTCATTGTACATGCAGAGCATATTTTCCACATACAAAGGCCTTGAAAATACATGTTATGGTTATGATAACAAAAATCTCCAATTAAGATTTCATTTTGAGAGATTGTGTTTTCTTTTTTTATAGAATTATTGTATGTAAAGTTTGCTGTTTTGTCAGTGAATTACAATGGAAAACTTCAGGGTGAATAGAGTCTGTGTAGATTTTAACTTAAACCATAGAGATAATCACAAAACTTCATACCGTATTTCCTCTAATAAGCGCCGGGTATACATAAGCGTCCGGGGTAAAGCAGCTCACTAACAGGTACGGTAATTAGACCCAGTAATCACAAAAGCGCCGGGCCTCTAATAAGCGCCGGGTCTGGAACTCCGTTGAGAAAAAAATAAGCGTCCAGGCGCTTATTGGAGGAAATACGGTATTTTTATTATTCAATAAACCGGTTCTGAGAAAACATACTGCAAAACGTTTCTTCTGAAAGACGTGGTGCGATATACCCGTAATACTGTACAGTCTTAGACTCTTAGTTACAACTGAAATATTGTATTCCTGAAAGAGTTTGACGCCATACTAGCAAAACTCCACATTTAGGAAGGGGGTCTGTAAATAATGTACTATGAAGCAGTCTTGTTTCAGAGACATTTCTCAGACGTTGACGGGTGACAAAACAGACACAGTGTATGAATAATAACTCCTATGTATTTACTGTTATTGGTTATTGTCTGGACCAGACGATCCAATGATTGATATGTAAAACGACGATCTGCAACCCCAGGGTACCATGACCGGCTCTAAACCCTTTCAGCGGGCCTGACCATCCGATCCACGGAATCGCCTCTTAAGTCAAACCTAGCTTTGTAGGAGGGGCCGGTTCGAGCCTCGAATATCCAAATGGAGTCAAGAACATGGTGCCCATGGCAAGAAACCATTTATACACGTTCGACAGAAAGATTGAATGAATACATCTTCAGAGTGCCCTACACCCTTCGTATGGAACGGGGCGGCGGGGTAGCCTAGTGGTTAAAGCGTTCGTTCGACACGCCGAAGACCCGGATTCGATTCCCCACATGGGCACAATGTGTGAAGCCCATTTCTGGTGTCCGCCGCCATATAGCTGGAATATTGCTGAGTGCGGCGTAAAACTAAACTCACTCACTCACAAAAGGGTACTTCAAAGTCAAAGAAGAGAACACACCCTGTTTTTTCAAGAGATCCGTGATGATCCGGGTTAGAATTGGTCTTCAGCAGCCCATGCTTGTCGTAAGAGGCAACTAACGGGATCGGGTGGTCATACTCGCTGACTTGGTTGACACATGTCATCGTATCCCAGTTGCATAGATCGATGCTCATGTTGTTGATCATTGGGTTGTCTGGTCCATACTCGATTATTTACAGTCGGTCGCCATATTGGAATATCGCTGAGTGCGGCGTTAAACAACAAACAACCAAACCTTGTGTCTCTCGTTATGAAATAATCTTTACATCCTTCGCACAAATAATATAGGATTTGCCAAGAGGAATACTGCTGGGTGCGGCGTTGAACAATAACCACGTTTATTCAAGAAAGCATTGTGTCATCCAGTTTAGTCCAGTTTCAGACCGGATCCATGCATGAGGCCCAGACTTAATCAACTTGTTGTGAAGTGACCACAAGGGAAAATACAAACAATTGTAAACTAGTTTGGCAAGTCAAGATTTCTTCTGTTCCTGACTGAAAAATAACAGGTTCTCTGGGCTCCTCTCTGTTACATATTGAAAGACAATTAACAAAACACATCTTACACTAAGTTCAGTTCAAAGACTAAAACATTACTGTTGTCCCCCGCCGTGATATTGCTATTGCTAGGACATTGTTAAAAGCGGCGTAAAACTAAACTCACTCACTCAAAGACTAAATGTTGGGCTGAATAAAGAATAATGTCAGTGCATGAGAATTTGTTTAAAATAACCCAGATTGTGGAAAATAAACACGAAAACAACGTTATCCGTGACATTTATGTCTTTATTCATTAAATTAAATGTACGCCAGTGCGTTAATTCATATGTTTACACTGCAGGGAGACTATATATGGTTGTAGAGTATCCCTGGTTTACACAATCATGAGGTACGAAGTATATATACAGCGTGCATTAATTCAAAAGATATTCGCTTAGGTTTTGTCGTAGTACATCTTCAGTGTAATCTGTTAAAGCGTTTAAGTCCTAAAAGTTAGACACGTGCCCTTAATACGATCCTTAGACGATCATGACGATGCTGCCATTCATGTTTGGCTGCGGAAACTGATTTTCCAAAGCAATAATGGCTTACCTCCCTTAGATCACTGACCCCTCGGTCGAAACAGCTCAGTTGAGCTCTTGGAGCTGGTAGAAGAGAACAGATTAGGTGTGCACAATATACCACTAAACATATTAATAAAACAACAGATAAAACATACAATGTATAAAGCTTATCGCGATAGCAGGAAACCTGATACTATTTCCATATTTGACTACCGGAAGTGACTTCACATCCGACAACCATGTTGGTTGGAATTCATTAATATTTCAAGGCATCCCCTCAGATTTGAACTGTCATAAAGTTGTCTATATGACCGGAAGGTAAGTAAAACTGAAAGATCACAATTACCGCGTATTTTTTGCGCCTATTTTTCACAAATGTCTGCTGATATCTTTCACCGATACGTCTTCGGGTGATGAGAAACTGGCATCATTAGCTCCCCTCGCACCCGTTCCCTAATCTTTTTTCAGCTTTTCTTTATTTTTGTAAGTAGAATTGGAGATTTTGTTCAAATCAAGACTATGGACATTGAGCCTGAGACCTTTAAGTGATGGTGATTCACTTTAGTCTCAAGTCCACTTGAGGGATCGGAAGGATGCATTTCCGAAACTAAATATCTTTGATGTTAGTCACAATGGAAGGGAGAGAACTGCATTGTGCATCTGTCAAACTAAGTCATTTAATTTCCAGATGAGATTTGTTGTTGATGAGTAGATATGCAAAGGTTATTTGTTATTTTACACCACAATTATCAGTTTGGAATGATCATCGTGTGTCATTTAACCCTCAAATAGGCAGTCATCACTATATAGCATCCTTATGGGATTTGGGACGAAATGTTTTCCTTTCCTGGATTATCAGTTGAACAACTTTAGACATCCCACTCACCTATAAAAGACAACTCTCTCATAAACACAAGACATCATCCAAGTTATTTTCGTCTTTGTGATGCAACACAGTTTGTTACAGCGAGAGTAAACAGTGCCGCTCGAAAACATATGATGTCCAAACACAACATGATCAGAAAACAATGGAAGCATTGAGACATTGATATTATTTATCCCTTTCAGTTACCTCCAATTACAAAGGAGAAATCCATGAAATTGTATATGTACACACTTTGAATAGATGTATGGCAACACAACTTACAAATAACAGACAGATGATCATTTGTTGTCTGCTTGTTTTTCTGTGATGTCACTTTATTATTGTTGTGATGCAAACTGATTGCGGATTCTATCTTTGTATTTGTGTGGCTTTTTCTATCTAAAATATTTATCTATACCATAGTTTGGTATCTCTATGCAAATCTTCTTTGGCGGGCTCTTGGGTGGTGGGGTAGTCTAGTGGTTAAGATGTTTGCTCATCATGCTGAAGACCCATGTTCGATTCCTGGAAAGATTTTCATCCGTAACCCCCGTATTTTTAAAAATCATTAAATGCCCAAGAATATACGTCTGTTTTTTTTATAAACAGCCTATACCTAACCCTAAACCCGAAACCTAACCCTAAAATCTAACCCCAAATCTAATCATAAACCCTTGAAATAATCCTAATAAATAGAATACACTTCAAGCGGGGGTTATGCGCGGAACTCTTACCCGATTCCCCACATGGGCACAATGTGTGACGCCCATTTCGGTATTGCTGGAATATTGCTACAAGCGGTGTAAAACTAAACTCACTCACATATTGCTACTGTAAAGGAATTTACCTGTTCACCTTTTATTTTTATTTTTTCTTCTGTGGGTCCTGTGAATTTTCAGTGGGTCAGACAGTCATCTGAAACTTACAGGACCCAATGTCCTATTACTTTGAAACACCATTTGTGAACACTGTTAAGCTATTCCAGTTCATGGCCTAGATTTTCAAAGCTCTCTTAGAGCTAAGATAGTCATAAGTTAATGTTAATGTATGACAATGACATTGCAATACGTTTTCAGAAACAATGCATATCTGTTATGAAATTTCTTCCACCTTCATCATGAGCAGGCACATAACATCTTCCTGTTTTTACAAAAGCAAAATTTTCTTGACAGCTGTTGCACACATGTGCCTAAATGGAAGTGTATTGATAGGCAGACCTTTGTATCATTCCAGCATTACAATAGCACATGTTTAATGCTCTGAAAGTGGTGGGGAGACGTCCATGCATGGATATAAGTGCTGTACATGATCAACAGGTAATTCAGAACTAAATGATGTAAACATGGTTAATGATTTCAATTTTGAGTGACTTCTGAAAAAAATCTATCTACTTGGTAAAAATAGTACATGTATATTGTGCGTTGTTGAAATATTTAACATGGACATGAGGGAAGTGATGAAGATTTTTTGGGGTTATTACCATGGTTGCAAGTCACTAGGTTTTATTTATGAAGGTCATTTGGACATCTGAATAGATTTATTTCTATCATTTTAAGCAAACAAAATCATTTTTTATAGAATTTACAAAAGTCAATGTCAGCATGCTAAAAGAGAATGCTTGTGTTTATGGTACCTTGTTTTGGTGGCAGTGTTGTGTAGAGATGTGTCTCTTAGCCAAGCTAGGGCAGTGGGGTAGCCTAGTGGTTAAGCATCCGCCCGTCACGTTGAAGACCCAGGTTTGATTCCCCACTTGGGTACAATGTGTGAATCCCATTTCTGGTTTTCCCGCCGTGATATTGCTGGAATATTGCTAAAAGCAGCATAAAACTAAACTCACTCACTAATCAGTATGCATCATAGATGCAGATTTTGCATCAGTCTGTACAGGTGTCAGTGACTATCACAGAAATGTTATACTCCCATTAGTAGGAATGTTATGATATATCATTGAACTGTCAGTGTTTCACTATTGTTTACCCTATGATTGTACAAGCTCAATAATAATTTGAAAAGATAGACATGAGTGTCTAGGGCTAGCTAAAATAATCGATAGTCGAAAATATTGTCGATTGGAAGAATTCTTAACAATTACCAGTATGTAAACTGTGTCGTCAATAATGCATAGTATTGTAACTAAATATAATTAATTCATTGACACAACACTCAAAGTTATGTCTTATGGGCTGCTTATGATATATTATGTTCGAAGAGCTGTTTTGTTAGTAATCCATACAAAAATGTGTCATACTCTTCACAGGGTATGAAACTCCCAAAAATTTCAGCCAGACCACTTGCCAGCCCTGACCAAAACTTACCAGTCCACAAAATATCTTCATATACATGTCTATATTTTAACCCGACCGTCGGGCAGGTGAAATTGAGAATCTGGCAGTCCGTATTGAAAATAGCCTGTCCCGGCGATTGGGCAGGCTGGTATTTCGAACACTGCTCTTCAGCAATGTAGAATATTTTGATTTTGGCTGGACCTTTTGCATTTTTGCTCGAAGATGCTTATCGATAATTGATGAATATTTAGATAACGATTATCAATCTCTATAATCGATAGCCAGCTGTTGTCTATAGTATAGTCAACAGTTCAATAGATGATAGTTTCAATAGGTGCAGTTAGTTGTTAGCAAAGAACTCTCGCATTTCAAATCTGCTAATTGTTGATAAGCATGGGTATGACAACCAAAGATCAGAGTTACTTCCCTTTGGTTAGTGTTTAAAAATGTCCGAGTTTGACATTGGTTATAATCAGAATACTGATACATTAGTGTGGGTAACATTACAATTCAATTACAATAGTGGAAATAGCCCCATTTGTTAACCCTTCCAGTCAGATCCCAAGCTATAGATGTCCCAACTCTAAGAGCAGAGCAGTAAATATATTTATTATTTCTCAGCTGTGTCCTTTATGTATACCTCCCACATAACACAAAGACAATTTGACTATGGTGCTGCTTGAATTAGGGCTGGGACGATTCACCGATACATCATGATACATTGAAGTTTGATACAGCTATCGTATCGTCAACTGGTGTATCAATACAAAATGATACATGACTTTTTTTTTCAAAACACTATTATCTTAAACATGTTAAAGTGTTTATTTAGAGCAAAATGCACAAGTATGATAGAGTTACTTGTTTGTTTATTACAAGAGTGATATTGAAATAAATTATTTTAAATCTTATTACTGTGTCATGCTTTCAAGGTGTATGTATTGCAATACGTTTCGTATTGCAGATAAAATATCGCAATACATATCGTATCTTGACATAGTGTATCGTCCCAGCCCTAGCTTGAATGATTTAGGGACTGTTCATAATTTATGACTAGGATGATGTTTTGTTTTGGAGAAGCATGTGCAATGTGAATGACCCCCTCCCCCATTAAAATTTATGTACAAAGTAAGTGACCTCCCACTCCCCCAGTACATGAGTACAAAACTGAAGTCCCCACCCACTTCCCCAGAACAAAGTGCGTGACCCCACCCTTTAAATCATCATCACACCCCTAGCCATAAATTATGAACAGTACTTATATGCAGTTGAATTGATGGATATATTTTTTCTTCCAAAAACAGCAAACACTAGAAAGGTTAAAAGTATAAATTGATGGCTAGCAAACCCTTTGAATATCTAGCCAGCTCCTAAAACTATGTATTGCCTTGAAACAGGCACCAGGAACAGTTTACAACTCAGTGCAGTGCCGCCATGATGAATGGGCTGGGCCTGCTTCTGTAATGTAGGACAATTACTCACTGTGTAATCAATCTTAGGCCGCAATACCTTAACTGTTAGATTTTCATTCCAATTAAAATATATACTTGTTATTATTTCAATAAAAAAGTTTTTATGTATCAGCTGTGGTTTGACAGATGTATTCCCAACACAGATACATCTGTTGTATCATGTATTGTATTGGCAAGCACTGATCAGGAACAGGTGCTTCATTGTCAATTTTTTCAGCAGTCTGTTACCTGAACATAGTTCTTAACAATATTTTGTATCGCATTTTCATATATTGCTGGCTGCACTTGCTGGGCCAAAAATATTTTTAATCGACTTGGGCTTCAGACTCAAAAGTTATTCAGGATTTTGTCAGTGCATGGTCATTTGGGTTCTAACTGGACCCATCAACCTAAGGCTTTCTTGTGAAGCCCCTGAATGGATGTACCCCATCAGCATGTCAACATACTTGGTCTCACACAATACTCACAATATAAGTCACTGGATTGTCCAACCTTGACCAACAAGCCCCTGAATGGATGTACCCCATCAGCATGTCAACATACTTGGTCTCACACAATACTGACAATATAAGTCACTGGATTGTCCAACCCTGACCAACCCTGACCCCTGAATGGAGATACCCATACAGCATCCTTCTAATTGTTGTCCCACACAATTTTTCAATGCAAAGTCAAGATTGTCCAAAAAGGACCAACTACATACATAAACAACAGTTACAATGAACTCAAATCACCACTAGTTTTAGTTCATTATAACTGTACTTTGATCTGCAAATTTTGAACTATGTAGCAAATGGTCAGGACCAAAAAAGCAGTTTGTCTATCGGTCAGTTCGTTATAAACATGTTCATGTTTTTCTGTGTTGTTATTTGGGGGCTACCTGTGAAGGTCCGGGTTAGAATATTGATCTTCAATAACCCATGCTTGTCGTAAGAGGCGACTAACGGAATCGGGTGGTCAGGCTTGCTGACTTGGTTGACACATGTCATCGGTTCCCAGTTGCGCAGATCGATGCTCATGTTGTTGATCACTGGATTGTCTTGTCCAGACTCGATTATTTACAAACCGCCGCCATAAAGCTGGAATATTGCTGAGTCTGGCGTAAAACTAAACTCACTCACTCACTTACTTGGGGGCTATTTAATAGTGTTGGGTGTTTTAAGTGGTGAGATGGTTGGGGATGATCATCTAATATTTAATGTATTGAGGCCTGATATGGGCATGTTTGGTACAGGAAGCTTTGATGACTGGTTGCTGATGCCCTTAGCACCATAGGGAAGCATGACTAATGGGATCAATATTGATACACCGAGCACAAGTATGTAGAATGCTGCATAGACTCACCAACAGAGGGGCCGTGTCAAAGTTTGTTTGGCTATATTTTTATCATGTTCATTGTGGTGAATTTGTGAGTTTGGGACATAGGTTGATGTTTTTTTAAGTTTGGAACAAGGTTAAGAATAGTCAACTTGAATAATTTGTGTCTTCAGTTTTGAGATGCCCCCCATAACATTCTCAGTTAATGAGAATACTTAGTAGGCTGACATAGGGAAGAATTAATGAGAGAATTTGATAGCAGTGTGTATAGACAGGCATGCCACATTATGTAGCACCCAGAATCCAGATGGATACACAACGTGTTCATCCACAGTTTGGCGAGGCAAGGGGTGCAGACCACACCCTGTTGTTAAACATCAGACCCGTGAAGATGTGGGTTGGAATTGATCTTCAGCAACCCTCAAGGGCTTGTCATAAGAAGCAACTAATTGGATTGGGTGGTCAGTCTCACTTACTTGTTTGATGCATGTCATCATATCCCTAATAGCGTAGATTGATGCTCATGATGTCAATCACTGGATTGTATGGTCTCGATTATTTACAGTCCTCCATCATAAAGCTGGAATACTGTTGAGTGCAGCACTAAACAACAAACAAACAAGTATTACAGCAACAAACAAACAATACCAGTTATACAACTTCACCTCCTCTACAATTCATGTAATTTACAGTCCTCGATCATAAAGCTGGAATATTGCTGAGTGTGCCAAGACACAAACAAACAAGTATTAAACATCAATATCAATGTTTAAATGATCCTACACTGATCCTTACGTCGCCGATGTGGTTATTTGGATTCCAGCATGATGCACCATTTCCCAAAGATGTTTTATGAAAACTGAAATGAGTAAAACTGGAATAGTTGGTAGGCAAAAGGAAAGATTGCCGGATCCCCATGTTGAGAAACTATAACAATAACCTCATGGACCCAAGACTCTCCCCAAAACAATGAGTCACGTGTGATTAAGGTGACTTACATGGAAAGGGAGATAATCACATTTACATCCCAAATTTACCAATGCTCCCAAGGGGTTGGTTTGCTTGCTCCAGACTTGGCTGCTACACAGGAAGCCATCTTATTAGTCTCTGTCACAGTCCTTGAACCATCACCTTGAACCATCTCCTTGAAGTGGAACCCTGTCCTTGAACCAAATGTGAATTTTCCTTGAAGTGGTCAGCCCACCATGCACATGCCCTAAATGAAGCAAGACTAAGAATTCCTCAGGTTCATCTCCTTGAAGTGGAACCTTGAACCTACCATCTCGGCTGGCATCAGCCCACCATGCACATGCCCTAAATGAAGCAAGACTAAGAATTCCTCAGGTTCTGAATATAAATGGAGTTAAATGTATTTCTTTAGACCTCCTCTGTGTATTGTGGGGCTCCTTTTCAATATAGATGGAGTTAAAATTAATGTATTTGTTTCTCCCGGAGTTACATATTTACAGAGACAAAGCACTAGTCTACCATATAATAGCAGCATATTGCTCCTTTAGACCTCCTCTGTGTATTGTGGGGCTCCTTTTCAATATAGATGGAGTTAATATTACTGTATTTGTTTCTCCCGGAGTTACATATTGTCAGAGACTAAGCATTAGTCTACCATATTATAGCGGCGTATTGCTCCTTCAGACCTCTGTTGTGTACAAAACAGACCGAAGTGTTGAATTTTCCTATCCTATGATCCGTCAGTTTCTACATGCAGTGTAACAGAGATCTATAAGTCGTCTGTCTCACAGTCCCTGTACCATATTATTTTCCCCAATGCTTAACCCTCCCTGCAATGCTAAAGCCAAAAATGAAGTCTAGATTTCCTCAGGCTCAGGAATCTCTGGTCTCACTGGGGCTCCTTTTCAATTTAAATGGGTTTATTTGCTACTATCAAAATTATATGTATTCAGGGTCTAAATGTTAGTCTAATACATAAGTTGTGTCATTATTGAGAAACCACATTGGGTTTGTATTAATCCCATAAACTTATGATGAAACTTCCTTCTGTACATGTGCTTATATGCAGAGCGGAAATAACAGCTGCCATCATCATTGGAGGTTTTGCTTTTATTGCAAAAATATTGGGTTTTACTGACATGATAAATGGCTTTGATAAAAGTCACAGTTTACATTCACAGCACCTCCTAAGAAGTCTTTAAAATTTATATAGCTGAGAGATTTGTTATGTATTGGATGTTGTGTTGAAGAGGCAAAGAGACTGGTCATGTACTTGGTGTTGTGTCGAGGAGACTAAGGGAATGGTCATATATTGGGTGTTGTGTCGAAGAGGCTAAGAGACTGGTCATGTATTGGGTGTTGTGTCAAGAGGCTAAGAGACTGGTCATGGATTGGGTGTTGTGTTGAAGAGACTTAGAGACTCAGGTCATGTATTGGGTGTTGTGTTGAAGAGGCTAAGAGACTGGCCATGTATTGGGTGTTGTGTTGAACTTTAAAGAGGCAAGAGATCTGTCATGTATTGGGTGTTGTGTCGAAGAGACTAAGATACTAGCCATGTATTGGGTGTTGTGTTGAAGATGCTGGGAGATTTGTCATGTATTGAGTGTTGTGTTGAAGAGGCTAAGAGACTCAGGTCATGTGTTGGGTGTTGTGTCGAAGAGGCTAAGAGACTGGCCATGTATTGGGTGTTGTATCGAAGAGGCTAAGAGACTGGCCATGTATTGGGTGTTGTATCGAAGAGGCTAAAAGACTGGCCATGTCTTGGGTGTTGTGTCTAAGAGACTGGTCATGTACTGGGTGTTGTGTCGAAGAGACTTGTCATGTATTGGGTGTTGTGTCGAAGAGACTAAGACTAAGAGACTGGTCATGTATTGGGTGTTGTCTCGAAGAGACTATGAGACTTGTCATGTATTGGGTGTTGTCTCGATGAGGCTAAGACTATGAGACTTGTCATGTATTGGGTGTTGTCTTGAAGAGACTATGAGACTTGTCATGTATTGGGTGTTGTCTCGAAGAGACTATGAGACTTGTCATGTATTGGGTGTTGTCTCAAAGAGACTAAGAGACTTTACTTTGCGTATAATGATGTCCTTCATGTCTCAAAACTGCTTTAATAATGTTTTCCTTCTCTAAAAGTAAACAATGGTTGTTACATTTGTGACATTAACTTTGGTATTGACGTATAGAAGCATCTTAATCGTTGCCTGTGTCAGTGTAGTGTCTACAATGAAGAACCATCACAGCCCAGCCAGAGAATCAGAGAGTTTGAAAAGCACTTGGGAAAGTTAAAAGCAGACACTTGACATACAGATTCAGAAAAACAATCTACCCCATCCAAGCCTTCAGGAACTCACAGTTAAAATTTCCAGTTTGAATGGAGAATATCCCTGTTTCTAAGAATTTACAATACTAAGAGCAATAAAATCATAAAACTGAACAAGTTCATGATTGTGTTCCAGTTTGTTGCTGTTACAGTCATTGTGAAATATACAGTCAGACACTGGGGCCGGCTGGTTGTAGACTTCTGTCTGACAGTTGGCGAATCTGCCAGATTTGTCAGAGGGTCAGACGCTATTCGTGAACACTGCACTTAGTTTGGAATCCCAGTTAAATCCCTGACATCATGCCTGTTTACTGTAAGGTTATCCTTGCTACATTATGATGAGATATGCAAATGGATGTAAAGTCTTCATCTTGTTGGCTCACTAAAATTCCAAATGGCACATCTACACATCTTTGTGTTTAGTACACTTACAAACAAAAACAGAAATACAAAAACAAAGTTTCTTCTCTGGATAGTTTCTCAAATTGCATTTCTGTGAATAATCTGTGTGAACCTGGCAGAAAGGTCCATTCCAGTATCTGGTCTGTGACTCAGGCTCCATTTGATGGAGACATGGAGTGTTTGCAAGTACACTATCAATTGATGTTACCCATGGCCATAGTTCTGACAGCACAGCTCAGCATGGAGATGAAGGGTATTGATTGGCTACACCTCACCCTCACAGGATGACCCTCATCTTCAGATGACCATCCTCCTCCCAATCTGGTGTGACTGTGATTAACTCAGGGGAAGCTGCAAATGGACACACCAGGCGACTTGTTGCTCATGGCTGTGTTTGGGAGAGCTGTCTGTTTTCAGGAATATTTAAAGCCACCAATTTTCCGTCCAAATATAAAACAATTTAGTGAAAACATACATAAAAATTACATTCTTGGATAGAATGATATTTTTTAAGTTCAATCAAAGCTTATGTCAGACCAAAAGCTTAACATATGTACCAGAAACAGGTTCATGGATGCAGAACAGTCACCCAAACTCAACCAATGATGTTGTCTGGGATTTCTTCTACCGGTCTGACAAGAGTAAGATATGTACACCAGCAAGTTTTCAAGGAAATGCCCCCACTGAGATGCACTACTGGTAGATATTTCAGTATTTGAATCTGAGACGTCTGCTCCTTCAAAGACGCCACCATGGACCAGTCCAGCCATGCTGAGTATAAGTAAGACTCTCTGTATATCAGCACACATTTATCCATCATGGTCATTATCAAATACTTATGTATTTTCAAGAAAGCTCTTGTCGGTAATTTTTCATGGTCTGTGGTCTCATTATGAGGCATATTCATTTTGTGAAGGAAAGTTGTAAAGGCTAGCTTGTCAACAAGGAAATATCACTCCACCAGCGGGCTTAGCCATTTGGGTTTAAATTATTATTAATATTATAATATTATAAAAATAGTTGGTGGTATTAAAACATGTATAACATGAAATACATTCATAGATGTCGGGGCTTGCTCAGAGTCTGATTACGATATGCAGAACAAATACCGACTAATATTTATTGCCAATCGATATTTAGTTTCTTGCAAATATGCATGGATTATTTTTCAAATCTACATAATTACCTTCAGCTTGGGTAAAGAGAACATGCATTTCTATCCAGATTTGTATTTATTGATGTATTGTGGCCGTCATCCACACAACCTTGAATAATGAACAAAACTGCCTTGCTTTACATATGTTAACTTTGACCTGTATGTTGGTGTGACATGATGCAACATGTGACACAGGGAACGCCACATGAACAGATGCAAATAGGAAGTCAGTGTGAACAGCATTTCTAACTGAATTTTAAGGAGATATTTACTCATTGGTTCAGAATACCCAATATACTGATGGATCTGGGAAGGTGTGTGTGGCAGCAGGTTGAAATCCTGTCTTATTCCCTTTCTAGCCCTAGCTGTAGGTCCAACAGCCCTAGCAGTGCAGACCAGCCCCAGCCCAGCAGGCCCAGCCTCTAACCCGGTCCCAGCCCCAGCCCAGCGCCAAGCCGCTTGCCTTAGCTCCGACACTGCAGCCCCCAGCCTCCAGGCTCAACCCCAACCCCAAACCCAAACCCAAACCCAAACCCCAGCACCAGCCAATAGCCCTGCAGCTCAGCCCTTAACCTCTAGTGCAGTGTGTAAAACGTTTGCTAACCATTCAGGCTAGCTATGCCTGAAAGTTACTAGCCCACAAAATAATTCACTAGCTCGAAATTTGAATGAAGAAGCTAAGCAAAAGATTACAAAATTAGATGAGAATAAGATATTGTCGGGATGACACAGGTTTCAGCATGAAGCTGCTATTATGAACATTATCAGGCCATAATCTTTGATTTAAAATGCTTTATAAGTGTATTATAACTTAACAAGTCAGTGAGCGTGATATATTTACAAAATAACCCCATGAAAATTCACTAGCCAGTTGGGCCAGTGACTGTGGAGATTAACTGGACGACTGGATTTTTACTAGCCATGGGCCAGTGGTTATTCGCACACTGCTAGTGGCCACCCAGCCACTAACCCTTGCTCTCACAGAGCAGCCCAAACCTTTAGCCTCCAGACCCAAACCCAAACCTCTACCTCATCCGCTATCCCATGCTCCAGCCTAACAGCCTCAACCCCCACCTTAGGTCCTGCCTTAGTCTGTCCCCTAGCCCTTGGGGGTTTTTTCCACCCAAGCCTGAAGACTGAGCCCCCATCTCCTGGGCATTACATACCCACAATGAGAGTTCAGGGTTTACATGAAGACCAATCTCTGTACACAAGCACCACCCATCCTCATAGCTCATCAATAGAGTATATCTGACCTTTATAAGTACAGATATCCACTGCCACCACATCTAGCCCTGGTCTTTCATTACTAGATCTGGTATTGATTTGGTACCTCCAAACAGGATTCAGACCTCATCTTCAGATGGGCAAAGAATGGTCAGCATAAACAGAGGCAGTTCTGTGGGATATCCAACTTTATTGATGTGATAAAATCTACTTCTGCGACCTCAAAATACATTCTACAAATTGCTTGGTATTCTACACCCAAAAGGTTGTTAGATTTATACCAGGTCACAAGTGTAAACATGTGGGATCCCACCACTGAAATAAGCTGTGGTGCATCACAATCTATGAATAAATATCAGCCCTCAGCCTACTCAAGGGAGGTAACTCTGTTAACACTGTTACCCAGTTTACTCTGGTCAGACCAGTACCAATAGACTGACATTTTGTTCCAGAATAAAATCATAATATTTAAACATATACATCTACTAAAAGACAAATATGCGAATGCTCGTGCCCTCACTGGAGTTATTTATTTCCTAGAGCGTAGGCAATATAGACTTGGTCAATCATTCTGGACTGAGTTACACTCCTTTATAATTTTATCCTCTTGGGTCTTAGAAATAGACTACTGTACCAAGACAAATTTTGATTCTGGATACAGTAGAAGGAAAATGAATATATAGTCTCTGAAAATGTCAAATTAACTGTTACTTCTGGCTCAATGAGGTCCAAATCTTGTCTGATCAGAGATGATGGAATTTGATTTCATCCATCTAAACATGGTGAGGAACTTGTTTTAAATGTTTCACAATTCTTGAACTTATAAATCCTTCTAAGGAACTAGATAATAGTAGAATTGTTGAAGGAAATCCTTAACTTGAAAGCTACTGATACTTTTATAATGACGTATCAAGATATGAATGAAGATTGCTGTAACCTGAGTGCCAATATGCCTTCTTAATCCTGATTATTTATTTAATTCATTTTACCATTTTGTCGACCAGCATAACATTTTAGGAAAAATGTGAACAGATTTAGTGGTCTTGCACCTTTGAGTTTTATCTACAAACATAAAAAGCACAAAAAGCATGACCAAAACATTTACCTGTGAAGTATTGACGATCTCTGAGTTGACGTGAAAGGATACTGCTGTTATGAAGGGCCTAGTGTCTCTCCTGCCCAGGAGCGATATGATTAACAGTACACTTACCCAGGAACAAACAGATATATATCTCACATTGCCCCTCCAGTCCTAGAGTGTCAAATGAGAGGAATGACCTCATTTATTAGTTTTTAACAAGGTCAGGTCTCCATTCCAGACATTTCTTTTCCTCTGACATTACGACTGATTACAAGTATGTTTTCACCTGACCAAACAGTTGAAGACTGGATGAGATTGTGATGTTTTGCCCCTCTTGTTTGAAAATACTAGCAACATATTTAACATGAACAGTTTTATGGTTTATGGAGAGTCTTCAGGTGAATAGGTTTTGTTTTAAGGAATGATTCAGTGCCATGCAGTTATCAGTATACTCCCTTCTAGTGATACTGCTGGAATAGTAGTGTTTTTCTGAATTATGCTCACTCAATACTTCATCAATAGTAAGATCCATGTGTGTGCAAGGGCTTGATGTTTTTGGATTTGAATTAAACATTTACAATTTCAAATGACCATTGTTGAAGTATGCTATAAGCAATACCAACAGTTATCACTAACATAGCAAATATATATGTCACATACGACCTGAGTTTATCTCTCACCGTCAAAACTGTCAAGCCATGATAAACTAAATTACTTTTCAAAACCCAACACTAAACTGTTCTAATGTTATCCTCTTGCATCTCTCTTAAGAGGCAACTAACATGATCGGGTATCAGTTTGCGTACTTGGTTGACACATGTCACCGTATCCCAGTTGCATAGAATGATGCTCATGATGTTGATCACTATGTTGTCTGATCAAGGCTTGATTATTTACAGACCGCTGCCATATAGCTGGAATATAGCTGAGTGCGGAGTAAAACTAAACTTACTCACTCCTCTAGTATCACAGCAGAGTTAACTCTCATACTGATGTATGTCGCCTGATACCTCATTGCCAGTACACCATGATACAGCAGTTGGCTATACAGAGTTCCGGCAACAGGACATGACAGTAACCTATCATCATGAACTTGAATCCCTGTGCTCCCTGATAATGTCAACACTCTGCCAGATTTCACTAGTCTGTCATACAGGCATTGAAACAAATATTCCCAAGAAAGCCCATGGAAGTCTAGAATGTGTGGCAAGTCTAGATTTCTACAGTTTCTGAAAATGAAGAAAGTCTCTTGGCTCCATTTCCTTATATTTTATGATTATTGTTAATGATTTTTTTTTCTGTAAAATATGTTCATTTCAGACAGAGACTAAATGTTTGTCTGGGATTTCACCAAAGTGGTAAACGTTGGAGACCTGCTTTAGGTTTTCAATTTCAAATGGCATACACGTTTACCTTCTGCTCTGGAACACATAAAACAAAATATAATCTGCTTTTTAATTTCTTGATATATTATAAGTACAATTGCATTTTATTTTTTTTTAGAGCCAAATTAACAAAAGGTATGTAGACGAGTGAGTGAGTTTACGCTGGTTTTCTCAATATTCCAGCAATATCACAGTGGAGGACACCAGAAATGGGCTTCACACATTGTACCCATGTGGGAAACTCAACCCTGGTCTTCAGCGTGACGAGCAAACGCTTTAACCACTAGGCTACCCCATCCCCCGTATGTACACAAGAAACAAGACAATCATGACACTAGGGTCAATTTGAACATTAAAATTCATGAAAATTTCAGCCAAAATTACTTCATTCAAATTGCTCTTCATACTGATAAAATGTGCCTTTAACACTACCAGGTAGGAAATTGAAATTAGGGTCGTATGCAAACTATTTAAACATGGGGTTTAGTCTGCTGATCCTACACAACTAACTAACTGGCTGTATTCAAGGGTGTGGTATGATCCTGTGACATGGCTGCCACTTGTGAACAGGAATTAAAAACAGCATGATGCTAAACAGCATTGTCCTCGGTTTACATCATTTGCCATGTTTCCATGGTAACGCGAGAAAGAAGGGTTAAAGCTAAGCCTTTTTTTGTTAATTAGATTGTGAAATTAGGTGGTGAAATTTAAAAAAGTAGATCACAGGTGGGTTTTTTCAACAAGTTAAAGGATTTGGTTGTTTTTAGGACTTGCTTGGATGAAGGCAAAGATGTAAAATGACCTATATATTTGTTAGGCCAAAGGACAATCATGACAGGTTGAAACTGTGTGGGTCCAAGGCAGTAAACAGGAGGTCCCAGGTTGATAATTACCAACTGCAGAGATGCCAGCCATACCATGCTTTTGAATTCGTTACGAAAAAACCCCAGCTGTAAATAGCAGTAAAAATCTTTGATTTTAAAAAAAATTACATTAAATTAAATGATCAAATAGCATCCGTACCATACAAAATAAATTTCAATCACATTTTATTCAGTAACAAGCTATATGTGGATACTTTCTACTGATTTAGGGAAGTACGATGTTAGTAACAAGTTCTTAGAATACCTATATATGTTTCATTAAATATGAAAATTCTTTGGAAAAGTTTATACTAATTTTGGCCAAAAAGTACTAATTTTTGCATCAGATTTTGGCCAAAATACTACTTGGACTAAATTAGGGTTGGCATTTCTGCAGCTAGGAAAATTTTTCAATGTATGCATGATGTTGTATGGGTATATACTTGACAAAGTTATTATAAATCTTTAATATTTTGAGTTATATTATTTGAGTACACAATTTCATGCAAATATGAGTGATGATTTTCATTGAGAAGCATGTACAAGGTGAATGACCCCCCTAAAATTTATGTACAAAGTGACCCCCCTTGCATCTCAACTTTGTTCACAAGGGTAATTTGTTCACAAGGGTATGAAGTACTGCATCCATTTCTCACAAACAATATTTGGATTGAATGGTCTGAAATTATCAAAGTATATTGTTTGTTGCCCATGAGTCTGACATTTGTCTATCCTGAAAGGCTCACTCAGTATTCGCAAGTTCAGTATTTATTACAGCTAAAAAGCTAAAAACTCTTTCCAGACTCTGTGACATCATCTTTGTATATTAAGTGCATTTAGAAACAGAAATTCAGGTAACAGAAATACAACTGAGAACACTTAAAGCAGTTTCATCCCAAATATACGGTCCTCATCAATAATCTGTACATAATCTGCGGACCCCAGGAGTGGAGATACAAAATGACAGGTGTGATTGTATTACATATAAAGTTACAATCCAATACACCTCTCACTCTGTGTGTCAGAGTCATTAAGCAACACCTGTTGTACATTTCAAATGATATAAGTAACAGCACAGTTGTTGAAACAATGCCAGGAATGTTTTAGTTTACTTCAATCACTATAAATATGAATGTCAGTCACCTTCAAATACTTCACAACTTTGTCAAAACTGACAGATTACAGAATTATGAAGGATGATATATGTCATACATGAACCTGAAACAGATATTTTTCATGTAAACATTGGACTTTGATAACATGTGATGAATTCATATACGTCATGTGACAACTCACCACTCTCTGAATCAGAGTCGAATCAGACACCATCTCCTGTATATAATGCAATCGATTCTGTCCGTTTCCATAATTCAAAAAAGCTCAGGTGTCGGTTTCATTGGAGATGTGTCACAGGAATATGTTACATGAGTAAAACTCGTACATTGCTGTCTGTCAACGGCCAAACAAGCAGCAGATGGGCCTGCAACATTGTAATGCTAATGTATTTCACCACACCGTGTCCTCACAGTATTATTCATAATAGCAGGAATTCTGTCACGCTTTGGTTACAACAGGTCTTGTGTTAGACCCTTAGATCACCTTAGATCCACACCGAGCTGCCAGCTTCTACAGCTCTATCAAATCTTACTTCCCACGTGTGTGCTGCAGATAAAGTGATATTTACAAACTGAAATTGACGTACTCAGGTGTCAACAGTGAAACAGACGACAGGTAGACATATCTGGGTCAGCTCGGGTGGAGGCGGAGCCTAGAACATATTCTCTTATGGTAGTGTACCTGGTGTTGAGATACGCACACACGCTCAGTGGGCTTGACCGATGGTTGTGAATAACTCTCTTGTTTTGGAGGTTTTTTGTGTCATTGTGACAGGCATGTTTGCATTTCTTTGAGAAAAGGTTTTTATAAGGTGTGTTAAATTCATTTGGATTACCATCAAGTGGAGATATATTCGGTTGGCATGTGGACAAGTTTACGAGACTCCAGAGCAGGAAGAGGCATGGATTTTCACTGATTATTGTGGATGGTTTATATATATGAATGATACTGGCGTGGGATCCTGCTGTTGTAGAATTTTTTTTAGAGCACCTGTGCGTCAGTGTGTTTAACAGGATAGAGAGGTGTCTCTACATGGAAACTGAAGGTGTTTCGTAACTTGCAATATTTGAAAACTCCATGTGATGTCATTTTATATTCTCATATAGAGAAGAGTTTGTCATCAGTCATTAGTTTGATCTCGGACTCAAGTTGGATGTGTCTGCTGCCCAATATATTGTAGTATAGCCTGGAGTACATGCTTAGATTTTCTAATTGCCCCATGTTTCTTTTAATTTTAAAGTTTTCATGTTGTTTTTGTTTTCATTCTCCTAATAGAAAAACTTCCACTTATTAATATCTTAATTTAAAAAAATTATTAAAGTATTGATTTTTTTCTCAAAAGTTTTCAAATTTTGATCTGTTTTGTTTATGATTTAAACATACGATAAGTCTGTTTTTAAAAGTGTTTTTTCCAGCTCTCACTCTTAGCTAGCCATTCAGAAATCTTTTTTGAAAACTTTAAATTGGAGCGTTAATCATCCCATTTTTATGTTTGTGTGGTGTAGTTTGTACGCCAGTGAGAGGAACGTCAGGCTGTAGGGTCTATTTCTGTTTGTGCCCACTTAGCTGCTTGAGAGTAAACAGCAACATTTGCTGAAATGGGCGTTTAAGATGACATGCTCGAGCAAGAGCCTTTAATACAGTCTGTCAATACCACTTGATGGGTTCGATTCATTCAACATTACTACCCATAGCAAGTAGTACAAAGACATTGTTGGAGTATATTTGACAAAGTAATTTTCATCTGACATTAAATAGCTGCCAACAATCAGCATTGGTTGAAATCATAATAGAACACTAACATTGAAATCAAATACTCCAAGAACAGAAGCAGCACATCAAAACCTTGCAGACCGGTTTGAAACAACGCAGGTTTCTTCAAGGTCAAATGTACTTGTAGTTATTGCTTGAATATTGGCATTTTCTAGAAACATGATGTTTGTAATTATTACAAGAAGCACATCCTTGTTGAGTGTACTCCAGTGTTAAGTATTGCTGTGTAGAAGGTTTCAGAGGTGGGAGGAGTTGGGATCATTGCCCGTGTCCTCCGGGGTTACAAGTATATATTGACACAGGTATTTTCAGGTGTGTCCACAGGTTGAAACATTCTTGTCGCGACATTTGGATTCTGTGTTCCTTCCCAGAAGGAGTTCTGTGGTAGTTGTTACGTGTTCTGTCAGTATTTACGTGCTTGTGTGCTCATTAACACGATGGCTGCAAGGATGCTTCGGCTTCAGTCTCTGAACGAGACGACTGACAGTCACTTGTTCCAGCGGCGCCGTATCCATGCCAACCAGGACAGTGATGATCCTCTTGATCAGGCTCTCGCTACCCTCAACTTGCTGAGATTTGATAAAGAAAGGTAAAACTTATCATTGCTGATGACATTATTGTGTTTTGGGTTGTTTTTCACAGTTAGACATTTTTTATTGAGATAGCAGAAGCCATGATTGTACATTGATGATTGCATTAAATGTTGATAGAATTGTATGACCATTTTCTTATATTATTAGTAGTTTGTTGGGCTGGCTCAAAAGATTAATCATTAGAAATATCATTGATGGGAAGAATTATTTCCGATTATCAAAATGAAAATTGTGGCATCAATAGCATCAAACATAAACTTTTGTGATGAAATGTAGTTTTTGTCTGCTCACACAAAACACAAAGTTTGGTCTTCATTAATCGGCTGCTTCTATTGTTGAATGTCAACTGTAAAAACACTTTTAAAATTTCTTGCATTGTTGGGTGCACAATGTACTTTGTCACTCTCACTCACTCACTCACTCACTCACTCACTCACTCACTCACTCACTCACTCACTCACTCACTCACTCACTCACTCACTCACTCACTCACTCACTCACTCACTCACTCACTCACTCACTCACTCACTCACTCACTCTCACTCACCATTTCCGACTAGACCACAGGACCAGTGAGTGGACAATATTTAGTGGTCCTGACTGTACCTGTCCAAAATAACATTTGTAGACTTACTAAACTATCAATACAAAATTCACTGGCCACAAGAACCACTAAAACCTGATCATTTACTGGTCCTGATGAATTTTTACTATCCAGGGACCACAGGACCAGCGTAAAATTCGCACACCACTCACTCACTCAGGAGTGGAGTCTCACTCAGTCTCTAGCTGGAAGGTTGAGGGTGTTACTGAGGGTGTAATCGCCTGGTTGTAATCTCTACCTGGAGGGTTGAGTCTGTTGTTATGGCTGGTTGTAGCATCTCCAGGGGGCGCCTCATCCCTGGGAAGTACTGGGATTAAGATAGGTATGCTAGATAGGTTGTTTACACACAACTATAGGATCTGCTCCTGGAAAATACTCCTGGGTATGTTATACAAATAGTACCAAGACACTCAACGGGTTGAGGAATTCCCCAACTAGAGGATTATCGATGCTTCATTAGTTCTTGAGAAAAATGTTGAGGCTGATTGAAAACATACTTATGATGTTCCATTTGGACAAATATGGTTACTCAGTGAACTTTTGTGTTATTTGTTTATTTGTTTTCATCTGTTTGGGTATATTTATCTTCTGAAAAAGCAACAACAAAAACTTTTGAAGACAACTTAAGAAAACAGACTCCAGTCTGAGTATCATGATCAAAGTAAAAAATGTAAAATAACTTATTGATAGTGATAGTGATAGTGATTGTTATGAAGAAAGCCCATAAGAATTCACAACTCTAGGTGAGGTTGGAAAAACAGACCCTGTTTATCAGCGTATTTATTTCATCACATATAACATATGTTATATTTGACATAAAACTTTCTTAGTAAAGTACACATTCTGTACTTTTGTTGGGTTGAGTCCCATCTGGGATTCGAACCCACACACTCACAGTCTGGCACCTAATTGCCAGCACACAAAGTCAGACGCCTGGACCCCGTTTCACAAAGCTCTCGTAGCGCTACTACTATCGTAAGTCAATGTCACAGTATAGGAAGTACGAATGCTACGAGGAAAGTTACGAGATCTTAGGCTTACGAGAGCTTTGTGAAACGGGGTCCTGACCTGCTCAGCCACCACAGCTTCCACAATTAAAAATATCATTCAGTGTAAAAAGTACTTTGTGTTGAACCAGAAAATACCCACACATGCACTCAAAGTTATGATTGTCTGTCCTTTGTTCCATTTGATTTTCAAGTGGAAAGTAAAGAGTGCTACAACTCTTGATGGCTTACATATTAGATGCCAGGGGTGTTTAGTACTTATGTCAACACAAATAAATGGAGCTTATCAACCTATTTAATATCCATTCCTTCCTTGTGTGTCTTAAACAATGTAAATACCCTCTGGTGGTATTCACACACTTCATGTAGCAGATCCTTATGGTGGTCAGAGGAGAAAATATATCACAAACATTCTACTTTATTTCGCCTAATGACTAGAGGCAGTGCCATATCCTAAATACTGATGGGCCGTTTTGTTCGTATTTGATTGAGTGGTAAGAAAGTGCCAGGCTTTTGTTTGTTGTTATTTTGTGCCAGAGATCGGCCTTTCCTAACGGTAAATTCCTAATACCTGATCAAATAGCCGTTTTTGTCGGATCAGCCTGATTGTGATCTGAACAGCAAACACTGTATTTGGAAGCAGTGGGGTGTGAACCTGGGGGACAAGTAGTGGATACAAAATGACCCCGGTTGTATGGACAGTGTCTACTTGAGGGATTAGATTGGGTGTGGATAGGACAGCCTGTCTGTATTGAGCTGGGGGATTGATCAGCTGTGAAATTTATCCTGGGTGGACAGGAACACCTCCCATCATGGTATATGGAGGGTCTGACCCTCTCTGATAGCAGCAGTTCGGATTTAACTTTGTCCTTTTCATAGTATGTCCCTGTCTCTAATGCCTGACCCCCAGAAACCTGATACCCACCCTTAACATTATCTTCATCTGGATAGAAACCACTGATAGCCTACCCCTGGCCTAAACAGACACTGCACACCTTGAAAAAGGACTCTCACCCCCTCCCTGATCATTCCTGACCAATCATTTGACTCCAACCACTGACAAGATCCCCACCTCACTAAAGACTGTCATTTTCTCAGTCTGAGTCCTCCATTAAACTTGTATTATACACCATCCACAGAAAAAACACCACCTCCCTGTATACCCACATTACAACACACTAGGCCAAGGGACTGTCACCCTCCCTCATCATTCCTGACCTCTCATATAACTCCTACTAAGGCCAAGACAACCAGCAGATAGAAGGACTGTCACCCTACAGTCTGTCACCTAACGCTGTCACCACCCCTACAAGACTCCCCACCCCTAGATCCCAGCAGATACAAGGACTATCACCCTACAGTCTGTCACCTAACACTGTCACCACCCCTACAAGACTCCCCACCCCTAGATCCCAGCAGATACAAGGACTATCACCCTACAGTCTGTCACCTAACACTGTCACCACCCCTACAAGACTCCCCACCCCTAGATCCCAGCAGATACAAGCATTGTCACCCTACAGTCTGTCACCTAACACTGTCACCACCCCTACAAGACTCCCCACCCCTAGATCCCAGCAGATACAAGGACTATCACCCACAGCACTAACACTGTCACCACCCCCTCACCACCCCCCTACAGACTCCCCACCCCTGTCACAAGACTCCCACTCCTAGATCCCAGCAGATACAAGGACTATCACCCTACAGTCTGTCACCTAAACACTGTCACCACCCCTACAAGACTCCCACCCCTAGATCCCAGCAGATACAAGGACTATCACCCTACAGTCTGTCACCACACTGTCACCAGTCTGTCACCTAACCTACAAGACTCCCACTATCCCCTAGATCCCAGCAGATACAAGGACTATCACCCTACAGTCTGTCACCTAACACTGTCACCACCCCTACAAGACTCCCCACCCTAGATCCCAGCAGATACAAGGACTATCACCCTACAGTCTGTCACCTAACACTGTCACCACCCCTACAAGACTCCCCACCCCTAGATCCCAGCAGATACAAGGACTATCACCCTACAGTCTGTCACCTAACACTGTCACCACCCCTCACCACACTGTCACCACCCTACAAGACTCCCCCACCCTAGATCCCAGCAGATACAAGGACTATCACCCTACAGTCTGTCACCTAACACTGTCACCACCCCTACAAGTCACCATACAAGCCCCTACAAGACTGTCACCACCCCTAGATCCCCCAGATCCCAGCAGATACAAGGACTATCACCCTACAGTCTGTCACCTAACACTGTCACCACCCCTACAAGACTCCCCACCCCTAGATCCCAGATACAGCAGACTATCACCCAAGTCTGTCACCTAACACTGTCACCACCTACAAGACTCCCCACTCCTAGATCCCCTAACACTGTCACCACCCCTACAAGACTCCCCACCCCTAGATCCCAGCAGATACAAGGACTATCACCCTACAGTCTGTCACCTAACACTGTCACCACCCCTACAAGACTCCCCACCCCTAGATCCCAGCAGATACAAGGACTATCACCCTACAGTCTGTCACCTAACACTGTCACGACCCCTACAAGACTCCCCAACCCTGCTGTGCCTGACACTGACAGCCACCCACAGCAGAGACAATGTTGCCATGAAAACGACACCTCAGTGAGTTTATGTTCTCTTATACCCACACCCCTGTTGTCTCCTGAATCATGAATTATGAATTCAGGATGAAAATAGCTCTATAAATCTGTTTTGCTTTTCCTCATAAATCTTTCAGCTGAGGATGCTTGTTTTGATACAAAGTTCTGTCAATTACCAGTATATAATGACTTCATGTTCAAAATGTTACTGTTAGTTTAATCACAGCGAGGAAGTAGTTTGTCAGGTTTTATGGCAGAATACTCCTAAAATATAACAACAGCCATGCTTGTCAGGGGCGGTGGGGTAGCCTAGTGGTTAAAGCATTCGATCGTCATGCCGAAGACCTGGGTTCGATCCCCCACATGGGTACAATGTGTGAAGCCCATTTCTGGTGTCCCCTGCCGTGATAATGCTGGAATATTGCTAAAAGTGGCATAAAACTAAACTCTCTCACACCATGCTTGCCAGCCATGTGATTTCTTCTGAAAAATGTTTAAACCCAATTTTCTAAGTTTAAATTCATTTTAAAATTTCACATTACTATTGTTCCTAGAGCCCATTATCCAACATCCTTCTCTAATAAAAGAAACACTCCCCAGAACTACCTGTTATATCTAGTTTCAGTATCAGTGGTAGAATGTACAATGAAAGTGTGATACCTCCCACATACCCGTCATGCAGTAACTTACATTGTGTGAACATAGTGCTTCACCATTGAGTTTGTGCTTTTTCACCAGATATGAAATATGATCTCC